TGTCAGTGCTGTCAAACAGCGTGGACTCAAAATGCAGGCAGCCATTGGGGATGGGGGAACAGGGCTCCAAACTATCCGAACTGTGAGGGGAGAAACCATTTCTGCTCACGTCCTGCAGAGTCTCCAAAGGTTCAATGTCATCATTGCCCAAAGAAGGGGGTAGCTGGGCGAAGGGGCCCTCAAACCCCTCGTCGACGTCGTCACTGATTGGACTTGCACAGTGCAAGTGGTTCCTAGGATGGAGGTCCCTCTCCAGGTCAGGCCGGTTGACCACAGTGTTCAGGTCTGGCAGCCTCTTCAGCGGGCTGTAGCAGTGAGATCGGTCTGGCTGGTTGTACCCCAGTGCAGCAGGCTGTTTGAGGCTGGAGGATGGAGGCTGCACGGATGACGGTTGGTCTGATCCACGCCTCACAATGCCACATTGGTTTCCATAGGAAGTGCTCACAAGACCATTGCGGGGCCTCCGCTCTGGCTGGCCTGAGCCAAACACTGAGTCCACCCTAACAGCCGGTCTGTATGACTGATTCATGTTGTCACGGCTATATCCTGTCAAAAAGGAAAAAAAAAGAAAGAGAGACAATAAATAAGGGAAATGTGGCATTCAAGTTTCTCACTGTGTGTTGGGATTATTGAGGCTTGTATGACGTACAATACAATAAATCATGCCGACAGACACATAAAAACATTGCGGAAATAGAGCGACAATCATACCGAGTCCGACATAAACCTATAAAGGAGCATACACACAAACACACACTCTTTCTCTCTCTCTCACACACACACATACACACACACACACACTCTCTCTCACATAAGCCGACACTGCATGGCCTCCATACTAGAGGGCCGGTCGGACGGCACAAGACAAAACACAGAGAATACGCTCGCTCCTTTACCTGATAGTTTCATTCACAAACTATCAGAAAATAGTGCCGCTTTGTCTGATGGCTGTGGGTCATGACGATCGTTGACTAGTACAGTCAATGGAGGAGCGCTGAGGCTGTAGTAGAGGTGGTGACACTGAGCCATCACAGACAGAAACACAGTCAGTGGCTCACACAAACAAGCTACAGCCACACACAGACATAGGAAGCTACTATTAACTCACCCAAAAAAAAAAAAAAAGAGAAAGAGCTTATCTGCACTAAGTTCACAACACTGTCAACACGTGGAAAAACGCGAAAAACTCACCATTTGGAGGTCGGTCACCGTGAAACCAACAGCGGATGTTTGATAATGTGGCACAGAGCGACTATTTTTCTCGGTTTGTGAAAGCGAATCTGCACAATCCCAGCTGCAGCAGCACTAGTAGGCCAAGGCACAGCTCTCATTCTCTGCACTTCATCGCCTCATCAGCGGCGGCCCCCTAAAAAAACTGTCACCTCAAACACAAAATAACAAGTAAATATCCATTGCGCTGCAACGCCATTCAGCGGCAAAATTCAGGGTGCCACAGCCGGTTCCCAGCAGCTTATTTACTACATGATTTTTGCCTGCTGTCGAAGTGCCCCACGGTTATGTTAAAACAAGCCCTGACTGCAACCAGCAACCAATCGGCACTGCTACCCAACCCCCCCGTTTGCAGAGGGCCGTGTCACTAACCCTCGCTTACATTCACTGGCACGGACACAAACGCACGTGCACGCGCACGCACATCCAGGTGGAAGTTTCTTATAAATATGCCACTTGTGTAAAATAACTGCTACGTGATATAATGCTGTCAAAAACGGATGAATGGCCCCTATTTTTTATTTTTATTTTTTTAGGCTATTTGCGCCCATTTTTGCGCGTCTGATCCATTGTTTGTTATTTGTCTCTGCTGGCTGGTGCAGGCCCTGGGTGTTTGTGTGCAGCGGCTTTGGAGATCGAGAGAACAAAATGAGTGCAGTACGCCAACACCCACACGGCCTCTCTGGTCAAAGCAGACTCCGCCATGTTGCCTCTCCACAGAGTCCTCTGACATGAGGAAACAGGCCGCTAGGCGCTCAGGAAAAGAAGATAAAGAAGGAGTCGGTGTGGCTGTAAGCGTGCGTAAAAATCAGGTTTTTACTCCGATTTAAAAAACAAAAAAACACCCCAGTGGTCGTCGCTTCCAGCTTGCCCCTCACATAAGCCCAATAAGGGTTTTGGTGCGCGTATTGCAAATGAAATGGATACACCCGCAAACTTAGAGAGAGCACAATAGGCTCGCTGCAGCGGGCCAGTCCTTGAAGATCAAACAAAGACCAACGCAGTTACACGCCGACTTGACAGCAGAGGAACTTACCTCTGTGCTGATTTATACAAAAATATACGCTACCGGGGTTGTGGGCTCTAGGTTGGTTCGTCTCCCTAACCTTTTATTGGTGAATGATCCAGTAGAAACACCAGATAGATACAAGAAGGAACTTATTCACCCACCATAGCTGTCTGGCGTTTACATTAACACTCGGCCCTTCATTGGGGTTATTTTAACAGTCTGCTGTCACACTGCGAGACCACGTCCAGAAAAGCATGATCATAAACGTCAGTACGCCGAAATTTCATGTAACATTAGGTAAATAAAGGTATTATTATAAGGTGATCACTCTTGTATGGGAACACGGGCCCCCTTGTGTCCGCATGGAGAATGACATGCTTTTAATTTGACAGGAAATAGTTATATGGAAAAGACTTTCTTTATTTTATTTTGGCTTCACATACAACACATTAGCATTTATTACATATTCCACAAAGTTTTTTTTTCTGTTTTATAAAGTGTTTTTTTACTTCTTCTAATGAACAGCATAACAACATACATGTAAATCTGTTAAGTGCTTATCAAGTGAGTTTGAAGACAAAAACAAGCTGTTACAATACAAAATCAAAAACTATATTCACAAAGTGCAGAAATAACAAATACTGTGTTCAAAACGATATTATGCATTGAGTTTTACCGGTTAATTAAAAATGTATCGCAGTGTTCCCATTTTTAGGCATGATGCTAGGATAATATCACAAAATAAAACACATATTGAACTGGACGACACGGAGAGGACAACTACACATCCACATATTTATGCTCAGGAGAAAAAAAAAGCAGATTTGATTGGCTGGTTATTACTAAAATTCAATTATTATAAATGTAGAAAATGTCACAAGAACCCGGCCATAGAAATATTAAAGCAGAGTAAGAGAACGTGTACCAATTCAGAGGAACAAAATGCTGATGCGGGGGGGGGATTCACTCTCTAGTGAGGTTTGAACCACAAACTGATAAATACATTTTTGCTTATACTGATTGGTGTGATTAAATTCATATGCATGCATCTCTGCCCAACGGGAATAACGTACTTCTAAGTCAGTCATTTTATTATGAGAGGAATGAAGACAATGTTAAACAATGTACAATGAAAACTCAGTCAGAGCCACTTCTAAATGACAAAAAGTTCTTTCCTCCAACATCTGAGAGGAATGTTTTTTCTAAGCATCCTCTTGCTCATGCACTCATATTTTTATTTTTTTTCCTCCAAGCACTGGAGAGAAAAGCTGCAGAACTATTCGCTGGTTTCATCCACTTTTCCACTGGGCTCACAGAGGGGTCTTTTCTCCATCATGGCATATGGAAAAGATGGAACATCACAGCTAGTGAAGTCCAGTTTCTTGGGAACACCGCAGTTGCTAAAGTCAAGCTTCTTGAGCCGAGCTAGACTCTTGATGCTGCCGGGGGGCCTGCCGGGGCTGACCTTGTATCCGGCTGCTTTGGTGGTACCGAGGGGCCTCCCCGGGCTGGTTTTGAACCCAGCTGCCCTAGTTGTTCCAAGTGGACGTCCAGTACTTGTTCGGTAACCAGCTGACTTTGTGGTCCCCGATGGCCTCCCTCTCCGCCCCGACTTCACCATGCCCTTCTTCTTCTTAGAGCCATCGGGCCCTGCAGCCTCACCGCCCCTGATTCTCACTGTCTGAGCCTGGAAGTCGTTCTGGGCGTCTTGCACCTGACATGCCATGGCTTTGTGCATGCCCGGTGGCAAGGGGGCAAGGCCCGCAAGGGACAGTTGCAAACCAGGGGTTGTCGGAGAGGGGTAGAATTTATTGGATTGTGTGCTACATAGATCAAAGTGGCTGGCTGGATGACAGTCCTCTGCCAGTGCACTCATACAATAGTCACTGTTGCTGCTGGTCACTTGATGCATCATTTTCTGTTGGAGTGCAAAAGAAATATAAATATCAGATCGGACAGCCACACATGCACGTGTGTAACCCCCCCCCAGGCAAACACAAGCCCCCAAAGAAGCGTTTTTTTAGTAGCTTACTTTTGGTGGAGCGAACAGGCCTCCTTTTTTTTTTTTTGCGTTGCAACACAAAACATAAAGGATGTCAAGACAAAGCGAGGTAAACTACAATTGTAGTTGGCATAAAAATACACACATATAGCATGAACAAAACTACAGCCTACAGCTTTCCCCCCGAAAATGTTAAACTATTTTACAGCCACACAATGAATAGTTCGTACCTTATTTGTTGGTGCTGGAAAGGGTTAATGTCGAATCGTATACATTTTCCTTCTCTGGCAGCCACAACATGTTTGTGAGGACGCCGCACAAACTACGCCCCGGCGTCCATCGGTGCTGTCTTGAAGCGGGTCTGCGATTTCTGGGGTTTATTTCATGCTCTTTTAATCCTTTGAGCAGAGGTTTAGATGAGAGAGGCAGCCATTTTCGCCTGGAAAAAAATTTAATAAAACAGGATGCGCGGACCACGCATGCGCACACGGGCTTCCAGGAAACGCAGTAGCAGACGAGTGTCAGCCAATGTGGTTCTGCTAAATTAAAACCAACAAAGACGTATCTTAATGGCAGTGCTTGTGGTTACAATATAACCATGATTATAAATTGACACTCTACTCTCTGTAATTTACAATTTCTCTGCTGGTGAAAATGATAAATTACCTTGCACTAACTAAACCATGTTTAGATGATTGTCACTGTGAGGAAATGTGTGCTTAAATAAACAACAACAATCAATGACAACAAAGAACAGTCTCCATTTTTATACTTTTTATTAACATCCATATGAAGTTAAGCACAGACACTGTTTTTATGGAGCCACTGCAGTGCTAGAACAGGTAGCAATATACATTTAGTCCATAGGACTTAAGCTTCCTTGATGAGCTTGGTCAGCTTCTGAATCTTTGTTTTGGTGGACATGTCGACATACTTGTCTCCGATACTGACTATCATGCCACCCAGGATTGAAGGATCTGACTGTGAAGAGGAGACAACAGTTGCAGTGAAAGATGACACAAAATGACTGCTTACATTTAAATTTAAGTCCAATGGTGACTTGTATGTTTCCAGGATCATGTGCTGATACTGTACCTTAGTTTCCAGCTTGATAGTTTCCCCCTTCTGAAGAAAGCCGTTGAGAGCTACTTTGAGGTCAGCAAGATTAGCTGCATCCAAAGGCTGAAATTAATAATATAATTACAGTTAAAATAATGCAACTCATTCATTTTAAGTGACTGATAACGTAATAAAAACAGTTTATTAGAGATTCAACAAGAATACATGTTATTTTTTATTCTTTTCATACCTCAGCAGTAATGACAGAGCAGACGACCTCTCCACGGTGTGCACTCATCATCTTGCTAAAAGCAGTGATAACCTCACCAGTTACAGTCAGACGACCATTGTCAGCCAGAACATCTGCAAAACAAAAAGTAGGATACATCTGAGCGAGATTCACTTATAATTTGTATTCCTCTTTGTTATGTTACATTTATAACTTCAGGTAAGAAACCTTTATATGGTGAGAAAACATGATAGAGTACAGTATTCATACTGTATTACATCTGTTTAAAATAAATATTGTTTGTGATTTCATACAACTGGTCCTGTTATACATTTCTTCACATGCCCTCCAAAGTACACCTTGATCAGTATCAATGTAGCATCCCTACTGAGCAGTAATGCTGCTGTGGGAAATTAATTGTGGAGCTTACCAACTGGCCAACTGAAAAGCCATTTTATCTACATATTGTGTATTTTATGTTTTTATACGATTATAATTCTCCCACTTAAACCTTGCACGTGTTTCATTTGCACTTTCACACAAATTATAAGACTAAAATACAAACCAGTTGCAGTCACAAGGTCAGACAATGCGTAGGTCCCTGTGACCTCCAGATGTCCTCCAGAGGTCACAGGGACCCAAGATAGACATTAAGAGCTGCCATTGATTTTAGCCTGTGAGTGTGCCTATAAACTAAACTATCTACACAGACAAGATAAAAAAAGTAAAGTAAAAATATTTTTCTGAAGTAAACTGCACAAAATGGGTTTTCTATGCAGCTTCTAGCTTCAGAAAACAAGACGGCAACAGAAAAGGGTTTGCATATACAATTCTACCCACGTCTGTATTTTGGACCAACCATGAGAAATAATTTAAGAACTTAATAAATTTAAAAGAAATTTAAAAACATTGCAAGTTTAAGTGAACTAATTCTACTGCACATCACTTCTGAGAATAAATACAACTGTAAAATGTGAATTATTTGAGTATTGGTTCCTCTTACAAAACCAAAGAAAGTAAGTAACAACATAAAAGTATAGAAAACAGGTTTTTTTGTTTTTTACATGTTCGTATCCTATCTTACATCTGCTGGTCGACTATCATCATTTTATTATTGTTTATTAGCATTAGTGAAAAATTGGTGATTTACAATGATATGTTTGACCACACTTCGCTCACAGAGCCCATTTTGGTCTACTTAGCTACGATTAGTGTTATATAATCCCAATGCAGAGGTAAAACTCAAGCAGTAACAGGGCCACTTAGCCACGGTCAGTGCTCACTCACTGATGAGGTTGATGGTGATGGGTGAAACCTTAGCCTTTACAAGAGCAGCATTGAAGGTCTTCTGCTTGAGGCTGCGCTTAATGTGAGGATTCATTACAATCCCAGAAAGCTTGGGGTCCTTGATGAGGGACTGAAAAACAAAATGGCACACAGCAAAAACTGAACTGATGTATCAGAGAAAAGTAGATTGCACTGAAACAGCATTCCTCTGATGAACAGCACATTTATTGACACATTTTAAATTAATTTACAACAATATCCACATCACCTTGAGATAATATGTTGAAGGAAAACACTACTTTCATCGTCCACTGACATCAACATCTTTAAAATGCAACTTGTGCGTCGTCTTATTATTATTATTATTATTATTATTATTATTAGTGTCTTATTTTCTGACTTACAGAAACTTTCCCCAGCTCCTGCTCCACTTGGTCCAGTTTGTTCTGCTTACTGGCAGCTGAGAACAGAGCAGTGGCATAGCGGCCCTCCACTCCATAAATCTGGATGGGAGGCTAGAAGGACAAAAACACACACACACATATATATATATATAAATATAAATATTAACCATTTCTGTTACAGTATGTGACAACAGATTAACCATCATGTTCCTGCAGTCTGATGTTATTTTACCTTGATCAGTTTTGCTGCAGGTCTGACCACAGACGTGCTGAACTGGCGGACCTACATATATATAAAAAAAGAATAAAGATGCATTATAAACACAGAAAACCCAGAACTAGAGCGGATGAACTTCTAGCACGCTTTGTACCGTTTACGTTAAAGACAACTAGCTGGTAGGCTAACCCGTTAGCAGTCATTCAAGTGCAATGCTACGTGAGGATTTATCGGGACATTCAGCGTTACCTCGCGGTCCCCAGAGTGAATACAGGCCTTAATACACTTTATAACGTTTACAATTTTCGATGAGAACGATTATAAAATGATTCAAAAACACAAAAATCATTGAACGTCTTACCTGCTGCCCTAGCATGAGTGCTGCCATTTTCTCCTACAGCTGTCCAGAGTAGAACATCCGACTGCGCATGTGCATTTGAGAGAGGCGTGTAGTTGTGGGTAATGTAGTCTTTTCAGTGAGAAGGTCTAAAAATGCTTTATTTCACTATACTCATTCTGTCCAGTGAATAACGCTATTCATTTATAAAAAACAATGTTTTATGTTCAGGTGCATTCAGACCTAAGGTAAGCACATTTATATAACTTGTAGTTCATTAGGTAGATCAATCTTCTACTGATGGAATTAATTACATTTCTCAAAAGATAATTCATGTTACTGGTGGACTTTTAGTTGACTCTGATTTCATATTTTCATACTTTACAGAATGAGTCCCCTTACTGAAAAATATAAATCTTCAAGCACATTTCGTAACTATGTTTGTCAAATACACAAATATAAATTTTTAACTGAATGCATGTTCCCTTAGTAGGAAGAAATCCTACTTGTATTATATTTTATTAAATATTTATTTATTGCCATTTAGCAATATTAGCAATTTAGCAATATTGATAAATTTGAGCCATGTCTGACGACCAGTCAAATGAAGCATTAAATATCCACTCCCCTTTAGCTGTTTCAAGCCAGTTACTGTTTGCTATTTGGTGCAGGCCAGGTGTACAGTCAGTTGATCACTGCTTTTGTTTGCAGAAAACATTTGCCCACAGGAAATATTGAATGAGAGAGTTGAAACTGAACCATGCATTAAATTTGTAGTCGGTAAAAACCAAAACAATTACCCAAAAGAGGCAGAGCTGCTGAGTAGGGTGATAATTCTCTGTGGGTTTGTCAAAATAGCTAATAATAATAGCAATAATAAAAAATATCTAATGTCATGTTATTGAAGCTGGTCCTCATATCTTCATTTCTAAGCTACGTATATTAAAAGGACCGGTGTGTAGGAGAGAGAGAGAGAGAGAGAGAGAGAGAGAGAGAGAGAGATAGAGATAGAGATAGATAGATAGATAGATAGATAGATAGATAGATAGATAGATAGATAGATAGATAGATAGATAGACTTTATTGATCCCAAGCTGGGAAACTGCAGTGAAGCAGCAAAAAAGCAATATAAAAATGTATATATAAGCAGTATAAGTATCATTCTAAGGTAACGTAAAGACAACTATTTTCAGGTGAATGAAAATGAAGTATATTCCATTTCTGCCAACACATCCTCCCCAATGTTACTGGTCCTTTAATTAACTAAATTAGCATTACTAATTAAAGCTCTGATTTGACAGCAAAGCTAACTAATTAAGCTGGCTTTAAAACAGCCATCATATGTTCAACAATTACACTTAGCTATAACTACCAAAACTGCCCCCGACCCCATGCCACAGTGGTGAATAGGCTATAACAAAAGTCTAACAAAGGTTCAAGGTTACTTTTCTGGTACCTGTAGTTAAATTTGATTTAAAATAAAAGATAAAAATATAAAAACAACAAACAACTCAAACAATTAGACATAAACAATGTTGAGCAGTAACTCATTACTAGTAATTCAATTACAGTAATAATACTCCTCCAGTATCTAGTAGTGTAACTAATTACTAAAACATTTCAGTAATAATATTAGTTAGTTACTCTTCCAAAAAAATAATTAGTTACAAAATTACTTTTGTTGTCATCCTCTAATGATTTGAAATCAACAACAAACAATCCAATCACATCATTGGATTCACTTGTGTAATTGTGGAGGAAACTAGTTTGAAATATGGAAATGCTGGAAATATTCCCATTACTTAGATTTTACAAACAAAACTGGATTTTAATTGTTGTTAAGTCTGAAAAGATACAATTACCAATTTTGTAGCAGAAAAGTAATATAACTAGAAGTGTAACTAGTTACTGTTGGCAGGGAGTAATAAGTAATCAAATTACTTATTAAATGATATATATATATATATATATATATATATATATATATACACACACACACACACACATACATACATACACACACACACGATAAAGAATAAAGATGAAAGAGCTCTAAAGATCAGGACTCACACAGACAGATCAATAAAATAACCACTGGAATAAATAAGATAGAAAATTCCTCTGTGCCATATTATAACCAATGGTTACAACCTGATAATCTGAATGAATAAACCTCTGTCCAGATTGGAAGAAGTTGTCATTTAAAAGCTTACACCTCTGTGATAATATATGAGCTATTAACAGCTGAGATCGATCGATCTAAAAATACTGAAAAACTTTCTCAATATTTCCACTTAGTATCGCATTATTTTGACACACAGTATCTCGCATAAGTGAGTACAGCCCTCACATTTCTGCAGATATTTCATTATATCTTTTGAACTGAAGAAATTACACTTTGATACAATGTAAAGTAGTCAGTGTACAGCTTATATAACAGTGTAAATTTACCCTCCCCTCAAAATAACTCAACACACAGCCATTAATGTCTAAACCGCTGGCAACAAAAGGGAGTACACCCCTAAGTGAAAGTGTCCAAATTGGGCCCCAAGTGTCAATATTTTGTGTTGCCACCATTATTTTCCAGCACTGCCTTAACCCTCTGGGGCATGGAGTTCACCAGAGCTTCACAGGTTCCCACTGGAATCCTCTTCCACTCCTCCATGACGACATCATGGAGCTGGTGGATATTAGAGACCTTGTACTCCTCCACCTTCCGTTTGACGATGCCCCACAGATGCTCAATAGGGTTTAGGTCTGGAGACATGCTTGGCCAGTCCATCACCTTTACCCTCAGCTTCTTTAGCAAGGCAGTGGTCGTCTTGGAGATGTGTTTGGGGTCATTATCATGTTGGAATACTGCCCTGTGGCCCAGTTTCCGAAGGGAGGGGATCATGCTCTGCTTCAGTATGTCACAGTACATGTTGGCATTCATGGTTCCCTCAATGAACTGTAGGTCCCCAGTGCCGGCAGCACTCATGCAGCCCCAGACCATCACACTCCCATCACACTCCCATCACCATGCTTGACTGTAGGCAAGACACACTTGTCTTTGTACTCCTCACCTGGTTGCCGCCACACACGCTTGACACCATCTGAACCCAATAAGTTTATCTTGGTCTCATCAGACTAAGGACATGGTTCCAGTAATCCATGTCCTTAGTCTGCTTGTCTTCAGCAAACTGTTTGCGGGCTTTCTTGTGCATCATCTTTAGAAGAGGCTTCCTTCTGGGACGACAGCCGTGCACTGACAGGCTGACCCCCCCCACCCCCACCCCCAACCCTTCAACCTCTGCAGCAATGCTGGCAGCACTCATACATCTTTTTTCCAAAGCCAACCTCTGGATATGACGCTGAGCACGCGCACTCAACTTCTTTGGTGGACCATGGCGAGGGATGTTCTGAGTGGAACCTGTCCTGTTAAACCGCTGTATGGTCTTGGCCACCGTGCTGCAGCTCAGTTTCAGGGTGTTGGCAATCTTTTTATAGCCTAGGCCATGTTTATGTAGAGCAACAATTCTTTTTTTTTCACATCCTCAGAGAGTTCTTTGCCATGTTGAACCAAATTTAACACACCTGCTCCCCACTCACACCTGAGACCTTGTAACACTAACGAGTCACATGACACAGGGAGGGAAAATGGCTAATTGGGCCCAATTGGGACATTTTCACTTTTGTTGCCAGTAGTTTAGACATTAATGGCTGTGTGTTGAGTTATTTTGATGGGACAGTAAATTTACACTGTTATACAAGCTGTACACTGACTACTTTACATTGTATCAAAGTGTCATTTCTTCAGTGTAAAAGATATAATGAAATATTTGCAGAAATGTGAGGGCTGTACTCACTTTTGTGAGATACTGTAGTTTCTCAATATTTTGACATAGTATCTCAATATCTTGACTTAGTATCATTAATTTGACTTAGTATCTCAAAATAATGAGACACTTTCTCAAATTAATGACTTATATCTCAATGTTTTGACTTAGCATCTGAAAATAACGAGTCTAAGTCAAAATATTGAGATAGTAAGTCATTATAATGACTGATATAATCTTTTTTCCCCATCACATTAACAGAAATGGGCTTTCATAGATATATAAATGTATATAAGTTATACTACTCACCATTTATCTAATCAATAACCAGTGAAAGTTGTTTTTCGATGAACTCTTCAACTGTTAGTCCGGACTCTTTCGGGTTCGTCCAGCAGGGGGCAGAACAACCGGTAACACCAGCACTTAAAAAGAACCGACACGCTTGAAAACACAACAATAACAAGCTAAAGGAAGATTTTTAAAATATATATATATATATAATGGACAAGTAAACGACATTTAAATATATATATAACGTTATATTTTAAATATCTCTCTTAAAGGGCCCGCCAGGGATGCCATGACGTAGTAATGATTTGTTGCTCAGCCTCGCTTTGGATCGGAGTTGGCAGCAGGGTTGGGTCTGTAATTTATCTCCGCTGTAGTTTTATTAGTCTCTCTGCGACACTGACGGCGAGCTGTGTGTGGCCTGGTTCGTTCAGCAAGGAGAACTACATCGATTTTTTTTTTTGGTTTGTTTTTTTGTTTTGTATCATGTGAACTATTAAAGAAAAAAAAAAAAAAAAAAAAAAAAGCCCCACCACAAACTGCAGGGACGCAGCCAGGGCAGTTGACGCATTTTCGCGGAGCACACACACACACACACACACACACACACACACACACACACAGTGACCAGAAGAGACGTAGCTTGGGCCATCAAGAGGGAGTAACAACATTAAAAAAAAAAAAAAAAGCTGGTCGGCTCGTTAGCTGACGGCAAACCAGGCATGGACGACAAGTCATTCACCAAGGAGCTGGACGGATGGATCGAACAACTGAACGAGTGCAAACAGCTGTCAGAGAATCAGGTCAAAGTCCTGTGTGAGAAGGTAAGGTTTGCGCATGAAGGCCATCTGTTAGCATTAGCTGTTACATCGGTTAGTATTGAACTGGACTTCACCGTCAGCCAGATTGCATGTGGCCCCCTTGCTTTTGGGGAAGCACACCATTTGACTGGTGCTGGTGCATGCATGCAGTACATTGCTATGGGAGACCACAGCCAAGAAGATGGAGGGGCATGTCTGCAAATGTTTTCCCTAGCTACGCCCACTCTTGGTGCCTCTTCACCACTGGAGTGAACTGGCACTACCATAACAAGCTGTTTAATAATCTGATGTATCCTTCTGAATCTGGAAATAATAAACAAAAAGGTGCATATTCTGTTGTTTAATATAAAAAAGAAAAAATAACCCCAATGCTCTGCTGCACTACACCGTCCTGTGTTACCTGTTTATCATCCTGTGTTTTCTTGGTCCTCCATTTCAAGGCGAAGGAGATCCTGACAAAGGAGTCCAATGTGCAGGAGGTGAGATGTCCGGTGACAGTCTGCGGAGATGTCCATGGTCAGTTTCATGACCTAATGGAGCTGTTTAAAATCGGGGGGAAGTCTCCAGACACTAACTACCTCTTCATGGGAGACTATGTTGACAGAGGATACTATTCTGTGGAGACAGTTTCTCTCCTGGTCTCTCTGAAGGTAAAAGAAATGTGCCACAAAGATTCACGGCAGATTATTCTTGCATTTTGTTTTAAAATACGTTTTTCTTCGTAGGTGAGGTTTCGTGAACGAATCACAATTCTCAGAGGGAACCACGAGAGCAGACAGATCACACAAGTGTACGGCTTCTACGACGAGTGCTTAAGGAAATATGGAAATGCCAATGTTTGGAAGTACTTCACAGACCTGTTCGACTACCTGCCCCTCACTGCGCTGGTAGACAACCAGGTAAGGTGGTGTGTTCAGATGTGGCGTGTGACATTAAAGCACAGATACAGTCGTTTATTTTCTCTTTCTTCTGTAAGATCTTCTGCCTCCATGGAGGATTGTCCCCGTCAATAGACACACTGGAACACATCAGAGCGCTGGATCGCTTGCAGGAGGTTCCTCATGAGGTAAGTTTGGTCCAAGTAAATTGTACAGATTTGACATTACAGGAACTTCTCTTAAAGGCGAGATGGTTTATTATTCTGTGAATTACTGCCATAACATATGAGGAGGTGTTGGTTGTTATATGCTTCCCCCTGCTGTGCTCCAACAATTTTACAATTACATTACATCATTATCTGCTACACATTCATTATGAAAGTTTATGTGTTTTGTTTTCTGGTCTTCATGATACTGAGCAGTTGAATATATGGAAATTGTGGTGGACATTTTTTTTTTAATTTTCTGATAACCCATGGCTCAAACAATAAATCAAGAAAATGAATCAGCAGATTGATCAGTAATAAAAAATAATCTTTTGTTGAAGTCATAGAAAATTTTGCCGTTTTACTGTATTTTCTCCAAACAAAGTACAACAGATTAAACATCAGAGCTGTTTCCTCCATGTTTCAGGGTCCAATGTGTGACCTGTTATGGTCGGACCCAGATGATCGCGGTGGCTGGGGTATCTCACCCCGTGGCGCCGGCTACACCTTTGGGCAGGACATTTCCGAGACTTTCAACCACGCGAACGGCCTAACTTTGGTCTCGAGAGCCCACCAGCTGGTGATGGAGGTACTTTACGTTTTGGTTTATCCGCTGATACACTGATTCTGTTTCTCATCGGAGACACTCCGGATGCAGCTTTTGACATTATAGGTAACATGCAAGTGATGTCTTGATCTAGGGTTATAATTGGTGCCACGACCGCAACGTAGTGACGATCTTCAGTGCACCAAACTATTGTTATCGTTGTGGAAACCAGGCGGCAATCATGGAACTTGATGACACATTGAAATACTCCTTGTAAGTAAAGTTTATTTTTTCATATAAATACATTTAATTTGGGCTTTTTTTCTACTTTATTATCGACATAAAATCTCAAAATGTGAGTTGATGGAAGTGTCCTGCCCTTTGTCTGCCTCAGCCTACAGTTTGACCCTGCACCACGCAGAGGAGAACCCCATGTGACGCGGCGAACGCCAGACTATTTCCTGTAAAAAAAAAAAATTAAAAATCACTGGTGAGGATGACTACACAGACGCTTGAGAAAAGAAGTATTCATAACTACATGGACCAAAAAAACCCCCCTCCAAAAAATGTGTGCCATAATCACAACAACAAAATGGAAACTATCACATCTATCTAATGACCACCATCCTTTCCACCAACGTTTTCCTCTCTGTGCATGATGTTTTTATTGCTAGAAATGATTGCTACTACGAACAAATACCGTCACGATACCTGCTGGTTTGTCAGGACAGATGAATAAACTAACGCTGAGAATAACAACTAAATGTAAAGTAATCTTTATGTTAGGGTATTAATGACGACCATGAGTGTGTTGCCATATACAGTATGTAAGCTGCATCTTTCACTTGGCATGGCCTCAAATCAAAAGGTTTCAGTAAATATATGATGTGAACTCTTTCTTTTTTTTTTGTAACTGAAGCGCAACAGTTTATTTTGTGAAGTGAGATGATAGGGTTAGATGTCGGAAGTCGGTCTGTTCTCTTTGCACTTTTGTATTTGATTTATATCACATGGCACAGACAAACTATGTTCTTTTTTATACCCTGTTAAAGTGTAAGTAGCTATCTTTCTGCTCTGCCGTCTCTCACAGGACTTAATGTAATTCATTTAAGTAGGTACAAATGACATCAGTTGTAAAAAATAATAATAATAACTCAATGTTTTGCAGCCACAGCTATACAAAATAAACACTGAAGTTGCTTCGTCATTTATTTCCTCTAGGTACTGTTTGTGGTAATGTTTCCTCTCATCAGTCACCACTAGATGGACACAGACACCCAAAATCAGCGCTGATGATTAACTCTTAAGATAATCAGCCTTTCTGTGACGGAAATGTTCATTTATTGGTGTATTTATCTTTATTACAGGCAAAGATTTGGTGTACATATAATGATTAAACATGAAAGAGATAGGAGTGATTGTTTGTAGCCCAGCCATGGGGGGGGTCGTTTGATTTTTGATTTTATTTTATGTATTCTTCTTATGTATTATTGCTTGTTATAAACACTTACACTTATCCACAAGACATTACTCTCACCTATTAATGTCAGACTAGTGAATTTATGTGTGTGTAAATCCAAAGTTTCACCAGTTATTAATGATTTACTGCCTGTGAGTCAATTTTGCGAAAATGTCAGAGGGTTGACGGATGTAGTGCGCAGCTCGCTGCTCAAAATAAAAGCCTCCTTTCAAGGACGAAGTCAAATGGAACTTAAATCACCACCTCAGATGTTTCCCTAAAGATTTTTTTTATTTTTTACTGTTTTACTGAAAACTAGAAGCATGCATTTCCAGGTATTTCTCATTGTCCACCTATAGTTATAACTCCAGTCTTTCCCAGTGTGCACTGCTTGCTTTGAGGCAGGACTTTTATTTTGTCAGCGGGGCTCCTGACACTGGGGGGATGTGGCTCTTTGTGCTCTGTCGCTGTGCTGACGCTGCTGCATGTAAAATTAGCTGTCTGCAGCCTTTCAGGGACACCTCTTGCGGACCGCCGGAGCCCACAGTGCAGTAAGTAACCTGTCCGTATCAGTGGTTTTATTGTAAAGGATCAATCGAGACGTCGACATGGAGACAAGCAGCTTGCACTTTGTGTGTCTGAGTGAAAGAGAAACTGTCATTAGACGCGTTTGGGCTCCTTGAGACATCCTGGTGGATGTGTGGCTGTGTGGATGTGGCAGGCTGATACTAGTTGAATCTGGGGCGCACAGCTGGATCATTATCAGGGGGGGTTGGACAGATGTCGTGCCCAATTAGTCGTGTTAAAATGCTAATACTTGGATTTCTATTGTTTGTGAGAAGGTTTTTTTTTTTTAATCGCTCTGCTCCGGAGGATGCACCTCCAGTTACAGTCCAGATTTGACTGGTCTACGTCGGGTTGAGACAATTAACCGTATCCAGTCACAGAGCGTGTTTACCCCCGCGACCACTCACCAGCTTTACACAGTGTAAAAGATGTCAGGCACACAGGAAAATGAAGGTTAAAACATCTGCAATGAGATGCTGCCTGCAGCGTTAGTGTGTGTGATACATTGGATTGTGAAGAGATGCTGGTTAATGTGTAGACACGCAGGCCCCCCTTTGATTGGTTGAGAGAGAGGGCAGAAGCGGTTGAGGGTGTATGGATCAAAGGTCAGTCCAAAGTTCAGACCTCCGATATCACCCTCATTAAGGATTGTATCAGTGCTATTAACAGCAAGAAGTGCCCTGCAACCTCTGCTCAAACCAGCTCATGCAGCCATTTAGTGGTTTATTGGATAAGTTCAGAGAAAGGGGGGGTGTTTTGTTGTCATCTCGTGAGAGCCCCGTGGAGTTTAATTCAATTTAAAGAGACAGCACGTCTCATGCGTGCCACAGTCGCCTGAAAACGAGATTTGGCTGTTTTCTTGCCAATCCCAGCAGCCATCTTTGGTGCAATTTCAGGTGGAGTTTCATCATGCTGCTGCAGATCCTTGCATATACTTGCTGCACCTTGGTGCCATACAATATAGTCCGTCTTGAACCATGAAATGGTTAAAAAAAACCAGATCAGACTGGGTTGCATGGACCCACACACAGTGAGCATGCTGCATGCACATCCACAGTGCTGATGTTTTTGAGTGCAGTGTCTGCTCAGTGGCCAGTCTTATCCGGTTTAGGACTGAGAAATCATAAATGCAGAAAAGTTTGAATGAAATACTCACCAGTGGTAGTGATAATAAAACCCCAAATATTGCATAACCTACTCGGCTTTGCTCATTTCCCCCTGATACAATTTGTAGTTGCTTGATTACAAATAATAAAGACTTTGTTTCACTGTTCACACATGCAGAAGGGCTTTGTCGCTCTCAGAGAACTGCTTTCTCTGGGGGGGTGTTGGTTGGTGCGTGCCCAATGGGCCTTTGCAATTTAGTGCCTCACACCCTTGTGTCAGGTCAGCCATCGCCATAGCAACAATATGCTGAATAAGCAGAATGGACGTACAGAAAAAAGGGGGCTTTATTTTTACGAGTCCTCCTTCTCTGACTTGTGTCTGCAAAAGAAAACAAGAAGTAAAAGGCTGTTACTCCCGGGTAAGTTAGGCTCAGGGCCCAGAAATCTCTGGAATCCAGCAATCTCAGCTCTATACAACGCAGTCAATAAACACATTTATTCTAGATTACTACTACTCAGACCTTAATGTTACAGCACCGCATGTTTGTCTCTGATTCTCATTCCTGCTTCCATTCATTTACTCTAGAAGACGACGATTGAACGTCCTTAAAGCATTACTCCTACATGCTGACTGTTTTCTGATATGATTTATTGTATTTATACTTTGTTTTCTACAGATAAATATGGCAGCAGAACTATCCACTTCCATAAACATCAAGGAGCCCCGGTGGGACCAGAGCACATTTGTAGGTCGGGCTAAACATTTCTTCACCGTCACAGACCCCAGGAACATCCTCCTCACCAACGAACAACTAGCTCATGCACACAAAATCATCACTGAGTACAGGTAAAGCAGTTCACCAGTATCAGGAAGTATTCAGAGCTTTAAAGGGGACATATCACACTTTCTCGTATCTTCTGTCTTATTTATGTTTTAATGTTTACATTAATATTAATTATGTAATGTTTATATAATGTTTATAAAACTCTCAGGCTTTGTAAAGACTGCTGTAAATAGGCGCTATTTTTTGAGAGCTCGGGAGCATCGGCGCTCCCAGCGGTCCAAAGTTTGTGTACTAGAGGTATAAGCCCCAACACTCCCCAGTCCGGGGAGATGAGAGGTGGCGCTCACATGGACAGAGCTTCCAGGTCTGTCTTAAACCTGTATTCTGTGTAATGGCCAGCAGGGGGAAGCTCCATTGGCTGCAGTAAAACACAGATACAATGGAGTCTTATGGAGAAATGAGCCGACTTCTCACTGGATTTATTAGCTCAGTAAACAGTTTCTTAATGATTTTATGGTCACAGTTGCTAGTGTCAAGTCTTCTTCCATGCAACAGAATGTTATTTTAGGAAATTATGGTCCATTTAGAGTAAAATAGACTGTATAGCAGGGTATGCTTTGGGCATTGCTACCTTTATGATTGATAAGTCATTCAAAGGACAGAACTCAGATTAAACTGTCAAACTAAGCAGTGCTGATCAAATACAAATCAAGATTATTTTACTGCGAGGCCTATTTCTCGCCTATGTTTCAGAAACATATTTTAGTGTAATGTTTAGCTATAATACAAGAACTTGGGCGATCAGGCGAGCTGCCATTGTTTTCATCTACGGACGAGTCGAAGCTGCGCAGCCAGTGAGCGCAGCTTAACTCGCAGTACCTCACCTTCACTCTCTCTGACAAACTGTCATGGCGACAACCATAATGCCAAACTCGAGGCTTCAAAACGGTACTCCACAAACCGATGGGTGACGTCAGGAGAGGTTCACACTTGGTTGCTCTCCCTCAGTCAGCTTCCAGAGGTTGGCCAATCAGGCAAAAGTGGGCTCATAGGGAGGGGGGCCTTAAAGAGACAGGAGCTAAAACGGCTTGTTTCAGACAGAGGATGAACTGTGGGGGCTCCATTAAAGACCAGTGTAAGATAACTGTGAATCATGCAAAGCTACTCTAGTAGAGTCCCAGAATAAAAATAAAGAGCTGGAAATAAGCATAATAGTGGCCCTTTAAATGTAACCTTTTACTGTCTTTTAGGCAAGGTATAGTCTCCCCAGGACTCACAGAAGATGAACTGTGGAAAGCCAAATATATTTTCGACTCCGCTTTCCATCCTGACACTGGGGAGAAGATGATCCTGATTGGTCGCATGTCAGCGCAGGTTCCAATGAACATGACGATCACTGGATGCATGATGACCTTTTACAAGTAAGAACTTGTAGAATTTAATTATCACTTTGATACACTCACAAACAAGCTTATACATTTAACTCTTTGTACAGTTACGCTGATAAAACACAACCTTTTCTTTTGTGTCCTGGTTAATGTTTGTGATCTTGTAGAACAACTCCAGCCGTGTTGCTCTGGCAGTGGATCAATCAGTCTTTCAACGCAATAGTCAACTATACCAACAGGAGTGGCGACGCCCCAATCACAGTCAGGTAAGGGATTGAGAGATTTTGGCACCGACACTGGCTCATATTAACCCTTTAATTCAATCGTTTTTGTGTGGACAGTTGTTTTTTTGCGTGATGTGACCGGTGACTCTTTTGTTTGCAGTCAGCTTGGCACAGCTTATGTGTCTGCCACCACAGGGGCAGTTGCCACCGCTCTAGGACTAAATGCACTAACAAAGGTATCAGTTCATCTAACCCCATTCTACATCCTCATTTTAATGTATCAACCTCAGCCGCATGGGTGTGCTGACAAGTTAGCTACGCACAAATAGTCTCTTTGTCATAGTGGAGCCGTATTATTTACAGGGTCATGCCCTGGTATCAGCATGTTTTCCTGCAAGCTTTTATAGTGACTTTGTGCTACTACATGTCCTGATGGTAGAAAAGCCTTCATGCATAGCATCTGAAATATAACCTGCAGTAACGTCAGACTTCCACTAGTCTGAAAGGTTACATCGGTTGTGGTATCAGGTTACATAATTTCTTCCCTCCTGTTTTTTGTGCCTCCTCTATCCTGCTGTAGCACATCTCACCCCTGATTGGACGATTTGTCCCTTTTGCTGCTGTAGCTGCTGCTAACTGTATCAACATCCCCCTGATGAGACAAAGGTAAGGAGGACATGCAGCAATAAGCAAAGGGCCTCATCGTTTTTAAGCGATACACAATGGCTTTGACCTTGAGAAGACAATACTAATGGTGAAAAATGGCCCTGATAACAAAGATTAAAAGGTAGACGTAATAAAATGTCAACTGGATAACACTGTTTTTGCCTCCGTGTCTTTAGAGAACTTCAACACGGCATTCCCATAACAGATGAGAACGATAACAGGTTAGGAGAGTCGACAAAAGCTGCACAGCAGGCTATCTCTCAGGTTGTGGTCTCCAGAATCCTCATGGCTTCTCCAGGAATGGGTATGAATATCATATCAGTATTTGTGTCATCACTCCCATTAGACACCTGATGAAAACAAAATACAAGTTTAAAACCACCAACTTTGTTATGTGTTCTACAATCTTAGTTGAAAATGCATTATGCGGTGATATTTTATGTCTTTTCAGCTATCCCCCCGTTTTTAATGAATCATTTGGAGAAGAAGGCCTTCCTGAGGGTAGGAGTTTTTTTTTTGTGCATATTTTTTGCATTTTATTACATGTGCTGCAGGAACATACTCAACACCAACTTGCAACAGCATGGAGGTTTAAGTTAAATGGTGGGAACCTCATGTCTCAAGCTGCGTCTGCCACTCGGTTTTCTTTTAGCAATCACACATCAGAGGCATGAAAAGCGCTGAGGACATGAGGCCACTCTAGTATGGGAATTCACCATTGCTTTTGTGCCCCTCATTCGTTTTTTTCTGCCTGGTCTTTTCAGAAGTTCCCATGGATGAGTGCACCTATTCAAGTCAGCTTGGTGGGATTCTGGTGAGTTGTCAGAGATGGCCCACCTGATAAGCGCCCATGTGGAATTCCTTTGAAATTTCAACCTAATTTCTTACAACAAGCATACGAAATGTCATTAATGCCAGGATTTATGTGACTCTAAATGTCGCTGTTCAAGCTGTTGTGAAATCCCTCAAGAAGGAATGTGCTCATTAGATTGGTTAGTTCCCCAGATAGCATCACACTGCTCTCTCAACTCATCTCACTGCAATATTGTGCCAGAGTTCAAGGGCTCCACACTTTTTACTATTAACAGTAAAGTGTGCCAGTTCTCAAACATGCCACAGATTCTGTCCTGTCTTCCTCTAAAGGACTGTCCACATATCCTCCCATGGGTTTTTTTGCTGATGTTCTTCTATCTCCACTTAGTTTCCTTTGACTTCAGAATGACCCATTACAATCATTCCTTTAGTCCAGCAGTGATTTGAGCTGCACATCCTGCCAACTAGTACACACACACAAGAGCAGACCTGTTGTAGAGGTGGTCGATATGTCATGAGACAGTATACATTGGTCCCCTCAGGATTATAATAACTTTGGTGACCCCTTAATGTCCCATCTAACGCTATCATCAGGTCAAAGTTAAAATTAATAAATACTTTGGTTTATGGCCAAATATTTTCCCATCAGCCTCAGCTATCCTTGTGTTGAGCTAATTATCAAATGTTAGTATGCTAACACACTTAACTAAGATTGTGAACATGGTAAACATTACAACTGCTAAACATCAGGAGTACAACCTCAGACATACTATAAGGCTGTAGACTCTCAGTCTTATTTAAAGGGTCAGTACGGGGTGCCTGGTTAGCTCAGTTGGTAGTGCTGGCAACCCATATACGGAGTTGCTGCAGCGGCCCGGGTTTGAATCCGACCTCCGGCCCTTTGCTGCGTGTCATCCCCTCTCTCTCTCCCCACCTTTCCTGTCTCTCTACAGCTGTCTATCAATAAAGCCAACAAAAGGCCAAAAAATAACTTAAAAAAAAAAAAAGGGGGGGAGTATGTAAGATTCAGGGGTCTCTATTTGCAGAATATGGCAGGTAATAATCATAGGTATGTTTTTATTAGTGTATAACCGCATGAAAATAACAATAATTGTTTTTTGGTTGCCTTAGAATGAGCCACACACAGCTGTTGGAACTGGAAGGTGTTTGTTTCATAGATCTGTGTTTCTTTTCAGCCTGGTGTTTGCCACTCCGCTGTGCTGTGCATTGTTCCCTCAGAAGAGGTGAGTAAAACATTCAAAGTTGACACTGAGGTAGTAGTAACCAGTCTGTCATAGCCACAGAGCCCCACCTTGTCCCTAGCAGAAAATGTGCAGAGTTTGCATGATTCTTGTCCGCCTGATAAGTTGCGTAATACGCATACAGTATATGCATTTGACCCATTAACCACTGCATGTCTCCCATCCCTCCCCCTGACCCAGCTCTATGTCAGTCAGCCGCTTGGAGCCGGAGCTGCAGGAGAAAATCCGGGCCAACCACCCAGGAGTGGAGAGGGTCTACTTCAACAAAGGGCTATGAGCGTGCAGCCCCCTCATCCAAACACTGCCATAACCCAGCTGCAGGCTCAGTCCTCGCCTTTCTGCCAGCCCTCCTCATTCAGTGTGCCAAAGTTAAGTTTGTGTCTCCTCATTTCCACCAATCGAGATGGATATCCGAGGACTCCCTCTCTCAGTCAGTCTCTTTGTGACGAGATGTTTGCTTATGTCAATGTGATTGTTGATTTTAATGTAACTGCTAGAGAAGATTTTCTCTGACTGGGCCGGATGAAAAAGTTAGTCATGACAGATACTGTACAGTGGCCCGTGTAAGGTTGTTTTAAGTGGACATTTTCTTTCTGTGCAGTATTTTTATTATTTTTTTTACGTTGGTGACTTGTCGATCGTATGTCGCCACCAAAATCCATTTTCATTCTCTCCTACCTACGAGGTTGGTACTCTGCTTATTTCTCACCATTATAATTCACCAGTCAAAGACCTCTGCAGTTCATGAATTTGCCAAATCTGTCCTCACATCTTTTTAGACCTCATCAACGATTGCGACCTCCTACTCTTGACAATGTTATTTCAAAGAATGGCATTCACTTTAATTCAGTTTTTGCCAAATGAGTGACATTCAGTGAGGCCTGTTGACATCTAATCATAGATCTGAAAACAATTCTCCAGGGATCCACCCTATAAAATGTGATGCTATGATGGTGGCAACTATTGATGGGCCGACACGGTGCTATTTGATGTCTTAATCAGTGTTTATCATACTATTTATTCTGCTTGCCAAACATGCATGAACAAACCACTCCTCATATGGGCATCATGGGATTTAACCCATAATGTACAGAAAATAAACGTTTCTGTATATTTAGTTGCACCGAGGCTACACTCAGGAGAGCTGAGCGGTGGTGACAAAGTGTTATTAATGATCATTTCACACTGGTTCTCTTACCTAATCCCTAATCTCTAATAGTTAATCCAGGATATTCATGATCACAGTATTTGATACCACCAAAATTCAACAACTCATTCATGCCTTACACAGACCTTTACGGTATCCATCTTCTGTACCTTAATGCAGCACCCTAAGAGGTTCGAGTATTAGCGCACAAAACAGACATTTTAGATTTATGTGGCAGTTTTATCATATTGTCTTTGAGGTATTAGAGTACATTAATATATACATTTGGAGTCTATGTTAGATAGATGTTCGTATTGGGGGGGAAAAAATGCCAAAAACATTCTCAAGATAGTATTTTTTTAAGGCATGGAAATATAGAGATGGATCCATCTGATCAATATGTGTTTTAAATAAGACTTTTGCCGTTATGAACCTACTCTGTGGACTCATTAACAAACAACTACACATTTCAATTCAGTGTCGCATACGGGATTACTTTGACCTGCAACCTGGTCAGTTTGAGGAAAGTTCCCAGTTAAAATATGGGATCATAAACAACCTCTGGCTCAGTATTTCTTTATATTTTGTCCTTGAAGTCGGGAATATGTATGTAGTTGTCACATACAGTTACATTAGCACACACTGTCACATAACTGTGATAAAGCAGGTGCAGGTGTCGTAACTTTTGTTCTGTTCCTGTCCCGCAGTAGTCAGTATTCAGATGATAATAACCTGTCTGGTATGTGTGAACACAGTCAGTGTAAATTGTGTTGTGTGGGTCCGACACCAGGTGGCGTTGATCCAGAAGGCAGCCATGTTGTTCTGCTGGTGTAGAGAGTTGATGGCGTTTGAGTGCCACATTTACAGCGACTGTATTTCACTGTGTGGAGTTGAATTCCAGGCCAATATTACACCACAGAGACTGTACAGCGAGGTGCCAGATTTATCACTGGACATTTTGAAAATCAGGGACGAGAGTGGAAAAAAAAGATGGACTTGAAGCCACAAAACAAAAGAAGCAAATCTTCAACCAACTTAAACTTAAAAAACTAATTTAAGATCCAGTTTCTTTAAATCATTTGGCCCAATAAATGTTTTCATGTCAAATTTAAATACACGATAAACACTTGTGAACACTGATTTGATTTAATTGCATTTTTTGCTCATTATGGTGTGTAATTTCTGTAGTGTTTAATGTTTAATATAATGTAAATCTACTTACATATATTGTTGTACAAGTAACTTTACTTTAGATCGTCAGTGTTTCCGAAGAGATTTGTTGGAGTTGGAGCTGTTCCCTAGCTGGTTTGAAGTGAAGTTTGTTATTCTAGTGTTCAAGGTAACTGAATGTAGCATTTTCCAAGTACAGCTGTTTGCGGTGTGTTAGTCCAGGAAAGCACAAACCTTGTAACATATTTCAAATGCTGCACATTTTTAGAATTTGTTAAACCTGTTCAGTTTCCTGACCACAATGATTTTCAGTGCATCCTTGATCAGTGAGGGAGTAAGAATAGATGAGAAGTACGAACCTTGCCCTGTTGTAGGCATTATTTCTGATTTCCATTAACCTCTGACTGTATCTAATGAAAACTAACACAAATAATAAATTAACTCCCTAAAAATAATGTTCACAAGCTTCCATCTACCAAATCCAATGAAATGTCATTACAGCCAAAGCGATACAAATCGACTCAAGAGGAATAAGTCATTTACAGTTTGCATTAATTACAATGAATATTTTTAAAAAAGAATATTATGACAAAAATGGTATTTGATTGTTTTGCAGCACACTGGAGTGATGTTTCAACTAACTGGATGAAATAAAGTTGATGAAATCTTGTGTCTGGGTCTTTAAACCATGTTTTGGTGCAGCCGACAGCTCCGCAGCGCCATCTTCTGGACTAAACCAAACACAGTCGAATGACATTACAAAAGCGTTTTATTCCAAGGCACATAATGTTCATAGCAACTATGAAAGACTGCAAACATGGACTTGCTTCATTTGACTACACAGATGTGAAGCTCTATGGCATCTTTACAGAACAGATTGGCATAAATGCACTCCGCACAGCTTTGACAGCTACAGAAGATAATGCATCATGGGAAAATGGCAGGACAAAGTGATGGCTCCTTCCACCATCATTAAAGAGCTTTAGACACAAAGGTTTACGGAATCGCTGGAGTGTAGTGATTATCTCCTCATTTCACACAGCAAAACAATCTTTGTAATAATTTTACAGGAGAAAAAGTTCAACAGTCTACGATTGCAAGATGTAATTACTGTGATCTAAATGTTTCAAGTTACCTAATGTGATCTTCATGAAACTACTGAATACATCAACATTTGGGTCGGAGAAACTTGTTTGGTGGAACTGCTGGGACACAGCTGTGTTCAGCCCTGCTGAGTTTCCTGCTCCCCTGGGTTTAAAGATGTTTCTTTGATCATGTTGAAGTGCAACAGTGTGAATCATATGAACAAAAAAAAAAAAAAAAAAAAAGGTTTGCATCACTGAAAGAAATTCTTACAAACAGTAACATCTTTCGTAGCACAATGACAGAACACAAATGCCTTTTACAATTTGGCCTTTTCTTAAATTGCATCACAGTGCAACACCTTCACAAGATGACAAACAATGTCATCCATGTAACAACTTCTGTTTACATTTAACAGCGAATAACTTTCACATTCATTCACGGACATCTTGTATCATTAACCAAAGACGCAGAGGGTCGACACAACTACAGTAATATATGACCAAGAGTCTTCTGTAGTTGCCGTCAACATTCACAGTCGACCTTCTCCAGGTCTCTGTTTTGAGTCGATGACCTTCTCTCTGTTCACACTTTGTGCACATGAAGTCCAAGGTAACCTGTACAGTGCTATCTTTGGAATGTGTTGGACTTTGCCAAGGTGGCACTTCGATTGGCACTTGTGTAAAATTGACATTTACAACTCACTCCATTAGCGTTCTGTACAAAAAAACCTATTTGCAGCAAAAGACTTCTTTGATTGACTGAGTGTTTATGCCTTACCTTACTCAGTTTTTACAGATTTATAGGATATAAATGAATATAGGCATTTGGATTCAACAACTTCATTTTCACATAAGATATAATGGAAAAAAAAAAGATAAATAAGGGTAATATAAATACTCTGGAATATAATTATACATCAGTGTTATTTGAATTTTCCATGTAAGGAAAATTAGTGGAAATATAACTGTGGTGTCCACTCTTAAGCAACACTGTTAAATGTCTTTGGATAGATGTTAAAGAGTGTACTGGCAAATGCCCACAGTGGCAGAGCTGACCATCACTCTGCTTCCTGGATGTGGGCACCTGCTTCAAGGCTCTGAAGATGCTTCATGTCCCCTGCACACACACACACACACCCAGCACGTCGGAGGATCAAAGGGTTGGTTCAAAGTGTGTGCTGGAGGGCAGTGACCTCAACAAAAGATAGTCTGGAACTGAAAGAGAGGAAATCACGCACGCATCTTTTTGAGTGCATGTGATTAGAGCTAAAAGAAAACAAGGGGCATGTCAGCTTTCTTCAACAGTCAACAGTGCTGCCCTGAGGCACCTACAGCAGACGGATGGGCCATTATTCAATGTAACCCTTTCAGCTTAGCATGGCCTAGCCTTCAATAAATGCAGTTGCTGTCTACTTCAGTATACAAAAGTTGTTGCTGGCCTATGTGAGCCTTACGTATTCAGCAAAACTCCTCCTCACAGTGCGCCTCCCCCACCAGCAGTGAGTGTTTGTCGGGCTCACTGAGCACCAAGCTGTTGAGTGAGTGCTTGTCGGAGCGCAGGGAGTTGATGGAGGCGCGGCTGTAGTTGGCAATGCGGTCCAGTAGGCTGAGTTTGGGCGAGGGGCGACGCATCTCGCCCATGCCGATGTGGACGCTGACATTGGACAGGCTGCCCTGCCGCCAGTTGTTGCCCATTCTGGCCTCCAACTTCTCAGCACTGGGCTTAGTGTAACTAAACAAAAGATACAGGGAGAAAGAGAGAGGAATATACAAAAGGTTTAGATGAATGTACTCCAGAGAGAGAAAAACAAAGCACACAGATGAAAAGGTTTCAATAAAAGGCTTAAATATTTCATTACCATTTGAGTAGAAGGGAGGACAAAACTACAGAGACAGACGACAGCGCCATCGCAGCAGAGCCCATCCATGGCTGTAACACCACACCAATGGGAAGGAATACACCTGTAGACAGACAGACAGGCTAATATTACAGCTGTGTGTGTTCACTGTCAATGTGACGACATCATTTGAATACATATTTTGCAGTCACCCACCAGCAGCAATAGGAATGCCAACCAGGTTGTAGATGAGAGCAAATACAAAGTTGATCCTGATCCTCCTGACAGTCTTTTTAGAGAGGTCGATGCTGGCCACCACATCCAGGAGGTCATTCTGCAGGCAGGAGAAAGAAAGACAATTTATATAAAAATGTCCTCTAATCATATACTGAAATCCTGCATCCTCCAGGACCATATGTTTGAGTTTTGGTATCATGGCTAATATATCATGACACTGTGTTGTATACGATGTTGGGCCTCATTCTGTGTTTCACACTGTATCTATAATGTTACAAAAATAGCCAATCTATAGAGCAGAGACTTCAATTCATGGCAGAAATAAAAAAATAAAAAATACCTCCAAGTTAAAATTCTCACCCTAATCAACACCACATCTGCTGCCTCTATGGCCACATCTGTCCCGGTTCCTATGGCGATGCCCACGTCAGCCATGGCAAGAGCAGGTGAGTCGTTGACACCATCACCCACCATGGCCACTATCTTTCCTGCCTGCTGTAGCTGTTCCACCTTGGCCAACTTGTGGGAGGGCAGGACCTCAGCAAACACCTTCCTGATACCCACCTGTGGGAGAGACACACAAACCACAATACACAAAATGTTACACCTCTGCAATATGGCTAAAAACTGTATTTTTAAGTATGGTTACGGTAACATTTTGGTAATATCTTGGTGTGTGTTGTCCTACAAATGCAACATTGTAGTTTTAGAACGGTACTAACGCTCTTCTGTATGTTTATTATATATTGACAATATCCAGCAACTGAGTCAAAGATATTACACCAACAATTAATCTTTTTTTTTATCATCTACATGGACAGTCTGTCCTTACCTGAGCAGCAATGGCTCGCGCTGTCTTGCTGTTGTCTCCGGTCATCAGCACAACTTCCAGACCCATGTTGGTCAGAGTGTGGACTGCCAGCTCAGCCTCTGGTTTCACTGTGTCTGCGATGGCTATCATTGCACACAGCAGATCTATGCAGAAATTGAAGTGCATAACAATAAGATAACAAGTATTTCCTGTACATAAGTTTTAGACAAGAACATAACTCTCAGCAGTCCATCAGGAAATTATGGTAAATGGATAAAAAAAAAAAAAGAGAACAGTACTACTTACTGTCTACAGCTACCAGGACAGCAGTGCGTCCTCTGCGCTCATGCTCTATCATGGCCTCATCTATATCTGGTCTGATCTGCAGGCAGTTCCTCTTCATCCATTCTCTATTGCCAATCAGGACAACGTAGGTAGCTGTCTGGACGAGGCCTAGCCATAGACACATGTTGGGTTAGACAACAGCAAGGAAACATTAAGACATTTACTGTGACTGTATCACTATCTAAAATTCATAATTAAAAAAGGACTAAATAAAAACTTTCCAGTATTTCTGTTGAATATAGTTTGGACTACATTTCCCAACATACTTAGTGGCTGTGGGTCCATGATGAGTGGATGGGAGCTGGTGGACATCCGGGTGTCACTGATCTGGACAAGGACACTGTTGCGTTGGTTGTTATCCTCGCTGTCGCTGTCCGCCTGTCTCAGCAGGGTCTCTGTGTTGCTGACCTGACATCGGATGCCGCAGCCAGGCACTGCCTGAAAGTCAGTGCACGCACCAAGAGACTCGGTGCCAAGCTCCTGCACACAGATAGTAATTGATTTTTAATATAATATTCTACAAATCTCAATCCAATCGTGGACTAGTGATCCGAGACAAGGACCAGCTGCAGACCACGTGGGGGTTCAATTTAAAGGTAGCGACCAACCTGTTTGCAGTATTTGGTGATAGCTGCTCCCAGAGGGTGCTCACTGTTGTTCTCAGCTGTACCCACAATGGCCAGCAGTCGGGAACGAGGCATCTTGTTCCCCTCCACAACTATCTTGACTTGGACAACTTTTGGAGCGCCGTATGTGATGGTCCCAGTCTTATCAAACACCACCGACTGGACCTGCCCATTAAAAGGAGACATGATATGAATTAATAAATACAAAACAGGCTGAATTTGAATCATAGTATCTAGATTAATGTGGTTGTGTAACTAGAACCATTTCATAATGTGTTTAAATTGACAGTTGGTCTGTTACATAATTGGCTGACTACACAGGGGTGTCAGAATTTAATCATTAACACACCTTATGCGCCATCTCGAGTGGCTCTCCTCCCTTTATGAGGATGCCATTTTGGGCTCCAACCCCTGTGCCCACCATGACAGCTGTCGGGGTTGCCAAGCCAAGGGAACAGGGACAGGCAATGCATAATACTGTTATGGAGGCCTGGAAGGCGAAGCGAATCACTGCCTCTGCCCTGGAAATGCTCTTGTCGTAACCCTGCAGGGAGAAAATGTACCTTCTTTCACATTCATTCATGTTTGCCTTCATTGAGGAAAAGAAAGTTACATAATAATAAAGAAACAAAATCAGATGCAGTAACATTTAGTCATGTCAAACTTTTTAAAAATCAGTTAAAAAAGGAATATATGTAATTCCCTAATGTTATACATAGGAGCTTTGTACAGTCAGATATGAAGATACAAAAGAAGACTCACAGGAAAGTACTTCTCCACAAGAGAGAAGTCTAAAAACCCAATGAAGATCCAGGCAATCAGCGTAAGGACGGATATGCCAACAATGAAGGGTACAAAGTAGCCACTGATCTTATCGGCATACTGCTGGATGGGAGCCTAAAAAAATTCAATGTCAGAAGTTAAACACCTGAGCAGATACCATCAAACCGGGTAAACACTATGCAGATCTCAAACTACATAATCTACCTTTGAAGTCTGAGCCTCCTCCACTAGTTTGACAATCTGAGACAGCGTGGTGTCCATGCCAACATGTGTAGCACTGACGAGCAGAGAGCCATTCTGGTTAATGGAGCCTGCAATCACAGAGCTCCCGGGCTTCTTGGTCACTGGCATGGCCTCACCTGCAGTCACAAAGCAACAGCTGGTCAGCAGCAAAAAAACAGGAGCCATCTGTAGCAAATACTGGTGTTTTGGCAGAAATCACAACTCAAATGATAATTTGTTTGTCAATAATGTTTGCAAGGCCTGGTAATCTGATCTTTTCAATTCTAAAATTATTTTCTGATAAAAACTGATAAACATTGCAACAGTAGATAACACAGAACACATGAAACTGAAGATTTCAACTATTTACTATGAAGAATCTCATGTAGAATGCAATAATAAAAAGCAAAAGTCAAACAAATTGTTCTTGTGCTTTAAAAAGAGGTGAGAGGTAAAAGTATGCGCAAAAATCAGATCTTCAACTGCAGTTGTTACTGCTACTGCTTACACATTAGTGATAAGGAGCCATTAATCAATACTAATTGATATTTGGTCCTTCACTCACTGTGACCAACCTGTGATGAGAGACTCGTCAGCCATGGAGTGTCCCTCAATAACTCTCCCATCTACCGGAAACTTCCCTCCAGGAACGACTTTCACCACATCGCCCCTCTGCACCAACTCAACATCCACCTGCTCTTCACTGGAACACACATGGATGTCCAACAATGTAAATGTTGTTGTTAATACAGTGCCCATTCAATACTAGACTTCTCAACAGGACTTCTGAAATCTGAGTGCCAGATCAAGATAATATTTCCATTTTTATTTTACGATGTTTTTAAAGTAAAAATCTATCTGACGAACATAAAAACAGACAACTACTATCTTTTTTTAAAATCACATATTAGACACTGGACAGTGCTGCATAATCAAACTATGACATTATATTTTATGGTTGGCTGGTGGGGTTTTAAAAAAGGGGAGATTAAATCTCAACCCCAGTTGAAATTGACAAAATATTGTGCTATTCCTACGGTGGGAAATCACTTGCAGCTTGTTTTTGCAGTGTTTGTTACACCAGGTTAGACCTTTCTACTGCAAACATTGAGATACATTATAATCTTATCTAAAACTTACTAAAGATATGAAAGGTTTTTGTAAACGAAATGAGCAAAGAGAACGACGACTACCTTAGAATAGACTTATCACTGCTGAGAGTGACCACTGTGGCCTCAGTTGCTTGTAGAGACATCAGCTTGGACAAAGCCTCAGATGTCTTGCTCTGGATGGAAGAAAGCAGAGCAGAAAACAATTTTCAAGTGACTAATAAATTCAGTTCAGGTCAGATTGAGCATTAAAACATTTAAAAAAAGAACATTAAATGTGAAAATGATAATGAGACAAACCTTGGCTATCTGTTCCAGCCAGCGTCCCAAGGAGATGAAGACAAAGAGCATTGGCGGCGTGTCGAAGAAGGTGATTGGGTTGATTGGTGCCTTCTCCACCATTGCCACTACTAGGACAATCAGTGAGTAGGTGAAGGCTATGGTGGTAGCCAGAACTATTAGCACATCCATGTTGGCAGATCGGTGTTTGAATGCTTTGTAGGCTTGAATGTAGAAGTAGCGACCACCAATAAACTAAAGAAAGGAAAAACAGAAAAGTGTGCATTCACTAAACCGTAAAGATTTCATTCAGACTCCTTAAATCCTCCAGATTTCTGATTTACCTGTACAGGGACACAAAAGATGAAGGAGAGGAGGTTCATGATGGAGAGGCCTGGTAGCAGCTGTCTCTCTAAAAACATGGCAGAGTGGTAGAGGTTGCGGTCCTCTGCTGTGGTGTTGTGCTGATGTGAAACATTCATCTGATGGTCCATGATAATCATATAGGTCATCATGCCCATCACGGGCACACAGAAAATCAGGCTCACCAGGAAAGATTTCCTCCACCTTAGAGAGCAGTGACATTTGTGTTAGAAACTGATTCATTATGTGATCTTTGTATTAAGTCTCCTTTCAGAGGGCAAAGTAAATGTACATAGGGATTCTTCATCACTACATCAACCCACAAATACTGTATATACAGTGTATGTAACGCTGAACAAACCCACATTCATATGTATACATATCTGTGCCAGTATGCTTCTATATAAAGTATTAAAAAGAAGATACAAAATAAATCATAACCTTCATTTCCATCCTATTCCCACATATATTTACTGTGTTTCAAAACATTATTTCCCTACTGGAGTTCTTTAAGTCTACATGAGACTCTCTGTATCCTTAAACATGTCTTCTTACAACAACACTTAATGTCCTCTGACACTAAAGGTCCCGCCAACGCTCAATTTCTTGTGACGTCCATTAAGAGAAACCGAGTGTTGTAATAACAGAATCCATTGAGTAATGTTAAGTGTGGGAGTATTCACCTCTGTACAAACATTTTTAGCAGCTGACTTAAAAACAGAAGTTTTTTTTTTTTTTGTTTTTTTAAAAAAGGAAAAACTGTTGAGTCATAATTACAATTTTTTTATTTAAAAAAAAAATCATAGGGCTTCAAGTTAAATCCAATAACACACTTTCCACATAGACACATGAATTGGAGAGACGGATTAAAACTGATCGACAACAATAAATAGGGGCTCCTGCGTGTTCTTGGTGCACGAGAACAAAATGCTACTTACTGTCGTATCTCTTTGCTGTGGTCCAGGTGACTGGCAGTGCGGTCTCTCTTTACCAATGATGCTTCAAACCCCAGACTCTACAAACAACAAACAATTGATCACATTTCATACCATCATGTTAAAGAAGGTCATGTAGCAAAGATTTAAATTCCACGAATCCTGCAAACAAAACACGCAAATACAAACATTGCTAAAAAAAATAACTGAACAAATGAATAAATTACAGACAGGGACAGGAATAATACCTCGATCAGCTTGATGATGTCTCGCGGCCCGATAATTTCAGAGTCATACTTAACGTGTGCTTTGTTGGTTGCCAAGGCAACAGAGGCATATATAATTCCCTTTTCTCTCATGAGGCTGGATTCGATTTTGTGAACACAAGAGGCACACGTCATTCCCCTGACCTGAAAGAAGGTGAAGAGGAGCAGTCAAGTAGAGAGAGGGACAAAAATATATTAAAGAGGGTTTTGAAGTGAGGAACAGACATGATTCATTTCATCTACTGAAAAAGGAGGCTGCGAGCATTAGACATTATTCTCAACTAGTGCTGGTAATGTTCACTTACGGATTTCATATTGTAGAAATAAACAACTGTGTGTCTCGTCTTCTTGATACAACAAACATAATGTCAATACAACCTTTAAGGTCGACTCACCACTAATTCTAGGTTTCCATCTGAGCCTTCATAGTTCTCCATAACAGAGGCGCTGAAGCCAAGCTCTTTCACACACTCTGCTATCTTCACAGGGTCGATGAGTTCAGAGTTATAAGACACCTCTGCTTTGCTGGCCATTAGTGCTACCAAAACGGAGTAGATACCTACAACAACATTTAAGATTTTGTCAAAGAAAGGACAGTTGTCTAATTCACATTTGAACGAAAACTTAAATATTTTACAGACCAGTTTCATTCTTGAGATTTCGCTCAATGTTTGCCACACAGGAAGCACATGTCATCCCTCCAATCTGGATGTAGCATTTAGAGCGCGTCTCTCCATTGTGTCCTTTTAGGGTTTCTTTGTGTATATAACTTTCCAGCTCTGTATCTTTCACAGGTGCTACACACAAAGACTTTGAGAGACTGCGATTTGGTTCAGGCAGCAGAGAATTGGTCTCTGTGGACAAGAAATTATAGTTTTTAAAAAAGGAAATCAAAACGTTGCAGTGATGTCTCAACCTCACAGTTTAAGTACCGCCACTGGCTGAGGAGCATCCAGAGGCAACACAGTTAAGCTTCAGACTACAAGCAGTTAATATTAAATTATCTGACGTTATCTATCCTCTCACCAGGTAGGAAGGCATCAAAGCCCATGTCCTCTACGGCCTCCCTCAGCTCCTCTGGCATGGTCAGGAGGGGATCATACTCAAAGATCCCCCGGTGATCAGCCAGAGAGACCTGGGCTGAAATCACTCCCTTCCTTTGGGAGATCATGCCTTCGATGGACTCAACACAAGAATTGCATGTCATGCCCTCGATGTGAATGTTGGCTACAGATGCCAGAGGCTGGGTGAAACAAGGCTGTGAGGCTGCAGGTTTGGCCTGGGTTGCTCCTGCAAGCCGAGGCGACGATAAGGCAGGCGTGGGCGATGTGGATACAATACTGAGAGGGCCAGAGGAGTCCCAGGGTTGAGTCTTGAAGTTTCCTGGAGGCAGCGCCTCAATTGCCTGCTGCAACTGAGTCACTGTGACCTTTAGAGGATCGTGGCAGATGGAGGCCTTCTCCTTCTCCAGAGAGACCTCAACAGAGGAGACACCAGGCAGCATAGAGATATTGTCTTGGATATTGACTACACACGAACGGCAGTGCATGCCCTTTACCCTGAGCATGGTAAGTGTTGTGTCTATGAAGATTTCTGTCTCCTCTGATGTAGAAGGCGAAGAAATGGTTGGTGAAGTTGGTCTTTGAGAATCAACAAAACGTTCAATTTCGTCAGGGGACAGCTGCAGGGGGCGAGGCTTGGACTTGACAAACACCTTGAAGCCAGCCGCAGCAATCTGGTCGATGATGGTTTGGACAGTGATGAGGTAAGGCAGGTATACGATTGTTGCTTTCTGCGTCTCCAAAACAACTGTAGAGTATAAAGACACGACAAAGTTAAAAATAAAAACACAAAGCATAAAAGGACTTTATAAAAAAAAAAAAAGCAAATATTTTACTAGAAAAGGAAGTGATCAATCAACTAAGCATTAAATATTAACTTAAAATCCATTAAAATAAGTTCAAGATTTATGTCCAGATTTGCATACATTAAATTTATGCACATAGTTTTATAATGTACTGATTCTAATTTGCTGCCTTGTAACTTGGGTTTTGAAAAGTACTCTACAAATAAAGATTATTATCATTGTCAATATTATTAAAACTGTGTCATGAGGATACAATATTTGAGCTTTGGAAATGCTAAATTCGTTTTGGAACAATGTAGTTATACACAGCGTGCAGCTGACATTCCTGTACTCAGCAAACATAATCCTATCTGACTACGGGTTACAACAATACCCGTGAAAGGATTTCATGAGTCACAGTCAGATCCCACTGAGCAATCTGTCTGTGGCGAACATACGGAGACATAGACAATGACAGGACACCTGTTATCTGTAGGATGTGCAGCAACTGTGTTACAACATCACTTCTTGCTCAGACAGTGAGGTAATACGTGACTACCACAAGCTTGTGAACAAGTCAACTACATCACCTTTGATCTTTTCAATCCCTTTCAGTTTTCCAATCTTCCCTTCAATAGTGGTGGTGCAGGAGTGACAGGTCATTCCTTTAACGTGCAACTTTAGGAGTGCCGCCCCGCCTCCCATGGTGTGAGATGGGGACACGGTTGGGTCATTTTGCTCTGGACTGCTGGGTGTGGAGACCTCCAAAGGAGTTATGCTGGCCACCACCTCAGTCAGGTGCTGCAAAGAAGTTAGGGATGGAACAAATGTGATAGTGAGACCCATCTGGGCCGGGCTTTCTCTGACATCCAGCACTCCTTGAATCTGGGATAACTTCTCCAAAGCCTCTTGTTGGGCTGCAGGAGTCAGGTCTGAGGTGGGGATCAGCTGGATATCTGTAGAAACAGGTATGGCTGTGCTGGACTCTGACAGACTTGATTCAAAGCCCATATCCTCAATGGCCTCTGACAGAGACTCTGGGGTCTGTTGGTTGTGGTCAAATATGACAGTGGCATTCTTCTGCTCCAAAGACACCTACAAAATAAAAGTCAAGCTACGGGTTAAAGAAGGAAATATAACATAATAAAATATATAATATAAATTCAGCTAAACTAGCCTTTTCTTCTACAAATAATCTGGCTACTAACTATCAAAATAAAAAAGGTGTCGCAGGTGGCTTTCCTTCTTATGTAGAATTTTCTGATAAAACTGTAGAAAGCACTTTGATAAGCCAATAAGACTGTTAAGAACTTTTGTTTGGCCAAGTGCTGGATTCAATATGTTATTTGTATCAGAATGCTAATTTCCATAACTTATTGTGGAGTCGTGAATTTTAACAATTTAATTTAGAAACTGTACAAAGAAAATTCATTAATGTCACTTTTACAGCCACATTGCGAATCTGTCTTGTCTTAACAATGCAACTTTAAAAAAAAGCTCACAGCATGTTCTGTCAGCATGATGACCCATAGCGCTTCCTCTTCAACAAGAGGGAAACATGTGACACACTGAAGGGATCACTTGACTGAGCCATAAGTTACAAAGCACAGTGGGGGTTTAGTAGTAAATGAGTGTGCCTTGGATTAACCCTTTACCCTGGGAATGAGAGACTGGGTCAGGAATGAAACGATGTTGTACCAAGAAAAATCTATTCACTCCTCTTAGATCATGTCTATATGAATTAACTTAAAATTGCCCAGAAACTGAATTCTCCTAAGACACAAATGCCATTTCCTGTGGGTACAGGCTGCATATCGACCAGCTGTCACAGTTCTGCAAAGGGCAGAGCTCAATCTGTAACACACTATTACGTTATCTTCTCATTTAACCTCAGCCTGAGGGGTAAACACACAATAAATACCAAACAGCAGACCACAACTACTGCCATTTAGCTATCTCTCATGGCTACATTAATGTTACTTGGTTGTAAATTGGGCCAGCTAGTCCTGAGGGAGTAAGACTGTGGAATTAATCAAATCGCAGTTCCCCTAAATGGGCAGGATCATTTGGTTAATATCATAATGTAAAAATGCTGAATTGCTAAAGCATCAATGTTATTCATTATTTCAGATCCTGTATTCAACTGGTGCTTTCAGAAACTTTAAGTGAGCAAATTTTAAAAAACTCTATTTCAACATGAAAAAATAAAGTGTTCTTGTGTCTTTGTAAAGACTGCATTAACCTTTATATGCATCACTCCAGGGAGAGACCCGATGCGCTGCTCTATGGACTGGACGCAGGAGCCACAAGTCATACCCTCCACTCCGAGGGAAACTGAACACAGATTGCCTTTCTGTGTCATGATTGCTTCGTCTGAAAGGACACAAAAACAACAACATTTATTGCTTAACATATAGAAATCTTAATTAGTATCATTGGTAACAATAACAGTAATTGAATTTAAGTAATTAAATTATCTTTCACATTTTAGTTAACAAATGAAACAAGTCATACCCCACACATAAAGCAGGGCTCCTCTGGCGAGTTAACAGGATGCTTTTTATTACAAATTGGACAAGCAGCCACAATGAGAAGATAAATTGCAATTTAATTATAATGGAACATTTTCATGTCACACTGACATCAAACTTTGCCCTGATGATAAAACTTTAAAAAATAAGGTTGTTCCATTTAGTCTTTCAGCCAAACTACACAATAGCAGCACTCTGACTCTGTTTGCCCCGAAAGGAACATAACCTTAATTAGTATAATTGGTAACACCTTTGATTACCTTACTGTTTCATGACTGGGGAAAAAGGTGTATAGTACTTAAAGAAAGCAGGTCACAAAACAAACAAAAGGACAAATCCTATAACCTGTAACCATAATTTCCACTACTGGCACCTTCACACAACAGAACAATGTTTCTTTGTACAAGATGTACAGGAATGTAGAAAATGTAAAACCACAAAGGAAGGTTATCGTGTTTCCATGCTTGGATTAAGTAATTTGGTTAACAACCTATTGTTGTCAAGAAACAACAGACTAAATCTTGAATCTTAATGTCACATTCCTTAAAAAATACATTAATCTGCATTTCAGGGATACACTAACATAAAACAGACAATTACAGGAGAACAGGCAGGTAGTGCTGCTGCTCTGTAACGATTGTGGTCAGGTGCCAACTCAGCTGTCACTTAACTATCAAATCAATGTTTGTCTGAAATATGACACTTGTTAGCTCTTCTTGAGTTTTGAAAGACATTTGCGACACCAAAGTCATCTAAGCTCTCAATCTCGGTCATATGGGACTATAAAAACACAAGTTTTTCTGAAAATTAAATCAAATATCAGTCAAATGTCAGTCACTCACTATTAAACCTCCAAAAGTAAGTCAATAAAAATGTTTTGATGCTCGTTCAGAGTAAGGCAGTTACCCATCAAATACAATTAGCTAAATTACACAAACAGACGTAGTGGTATCTACAAACAATCTGGTTGTTTGACTTTTAATAACTGAGTAGGTGGATTTCATTTAGCTGGGGTTAAGGCAGCTAACAGTGAGCTAGCTCGCTGAAGCTAAATAATGAGTCAGTTAAAGTTAACAACCAAAACGTTGGCCGCCGACTGCTTGTTGCTAAACAGCTGATGAGTTCACAAGAAAACTAATCTCTCCTTTAACGTTACCTACTAGAAAAGAATATGTGCCGTGTGTGAAAACACAGCTAGAGTTAAGTCTTACCTCACTCAAAGGGAAGTAAACTAGTTAGCTACAGGCTACTGGCGTTGGCTATCAGGCTATAATTGAGCTAGCAGGCTAACTGGCTAGCTTCTTCTCTTCACCCTACGTTACACGCAGCGAACCGGACACGTCGGGGCATCGTCCTGACTGCGAGGGGAGCGCTGAAGTGATAGTTTTGTTCCCCGGTTTGGCAGAAAACTCAACTCTGTGAGGCTGTTTATGTTTCTCCTTCTCATCCCGACGTGACTGACGTGAGGGTTCCACACGGCCGCGTCAGCGCCAAGGGGCGGAGCCTGCGCAATGGATGTATCCATAGCAACGGTATTAGGTAAAGTTGGCCTTAATTTAACCTCTCAGGCTGTGTTTACTCCCGTGTAGTCTTCAGTTGTTATTACTGCAACAGCAAATCACAATTATGTTTACAGTGTCAAGAGTTTATTAATTAGGCGTTATACGTTATTAGTCATGATTTTTGGTAGGTTTACTACAATGGGTTTTCTAAGGACTGGTCCTGAGGTGAATGGTGAACCTGAGTGGGATGTGTTTCCTCCCTTTGTCCCTTGTTGACTCCATTGGCAGAATATAGGTTTATTCCCCCTCTTTTTTGCAACTGACTAGTTATTGTCCGCCTGTCATCATCCTGTATGCTCCACAATGTGTCAGAGAAACATGATCAGTAGTCTGCAGGCTGACATAACCAGAGGCACATCAGGACTGAAAGATTACACTAATTGTCCTTATGGGGGCGCTTTACACAGAGTGCAGGTCTTCCCACCCTCCAATTTTATTACCAGGGCAAAGTTTATGTCACATTTAGGGTCAGTGTGACATGAACATTTGACATTATAATAGGATAATAAACTTGGCTTGGACGGATGAAGCCCCTTGTTGACTTGCCAGAGGAGCACTGCTTTATTTATTTATGGGGCATCACCTGTTTAACTTGTTGAACTTGTTAAATTACAAATAAATTGTTGAGCATTTGACTTGTTAATGCTTTACGAGCCACTTGCAGCGGCCATTTAAACATAAAATAGTACCAGAAAAAAGAAAATGCAAATACAAAGATATACATTTACTTATATTTATAAATATATACATACACATACAGTTAGGGTCAGTGTGCTATATATACATACATATATATATATATACATATATTCAATAATCTTTCCACATAATCCTTTTTTATCGGACCATTATTTAATATCTTTTGAATTCCTATTACTGGACTATAGGCCATTAGGCAAAACTTTCTCCACCAGCTGTCTTTCTGATAGTGCTGTTGTTAAATTGAAGGAGGTGATTCTATCTGTATTTAATTCATTGCCATGTCTTAATAACCTTAGTCCCTCCTAAATTGTTAATCTTGTTAACAGTGCTGCAGGCTCACTGCGAACAACACTCAACTCTATTGCCCCTCTAAAAAAACAATATATCAAAACATAAGAGGCTACAAGGGTTGTACAACCACCAGTCACCAATTAAAGCAAGAAGCACAAAAAACATAACATATAGAACATAAAACATACAGAAAGGCCCTCTGTGATGCCAGAGCAGCCTATTATTCAACATTAATAGAAAAAATTAAGAACAACCCCAGGTTCCTCTTCAGCACTGTAGCCAGGCTGACAGAGAGTCACAACTCCATTAAGCCGTATATCCCCATAACCCTCAGTAGTAACAACTTCATGAGCTTTTTTAATGATAAAATTATTACTATTAACTACATAGCAACATCTTATTTGAGGACCTTCAGTCAGGATTTAGAGTAAATCACAGCACAGAGACAACACTGGTGAAAGTTACTAACGACCTCTTAATTGCATCAGACAAAGGACTTCTGTCTTGTTAGATCTTAGTGCTGCACCACTGACCATCATATCCTATTACGGAGACTTGAGCATCTAATTGGCATTAAAGGAACCACACTAAGCTGGTTTAAGTCCTATTTATCAGATTCATCTTAGTTTGTACGTGTTAATGATCGTGACGACCCTCAAAGCCTGGTGGGTGGAGTCGCTTAATCAAGCAGATTAAGTTTACCTGGTCAGATGGCTAGACAGGCTGGAGACAATCAGCTGGTCTGGCTCTCTCTCCACTCTTAGTTTGGTTTGGTTGAATTTGTTTGTCTTCACTAAAGCACTGAACCACCTGAGCCAATTGTTTCGAAAATGAGTTCATTACTCGAAGCTTCAGTTACAGTGACCTCTCCTGGCAAAGTGCAAGGCTGCAGTCAAATTAGGCAGGCTAGTTGGTGGACAGGAGGCTTTTAATTACATACAGGCATTCATGCCTGCATGCATGCACACGCGCACACACACACACACACACACACACACACACACACACACACACCTTAATGAGCAGTGTTGGAAAAACTGTTTGTAGAAAATAGCTTTTGTTCTGAAGCATCTTTGCTTTGAACACCCTTGGATTTAAATTATCTTTGCTTTGAAAATTCATATCTATATCATATTTACAAATAAAGATTGATGAATGTGTGTATTGTGTTATTGAAGGAGAGAATGCTGGGAAATATGCCGTAGGTTGGGTGTGCTTGTGTAACTATGGCGGGGGGGATGGGGGACACTCAAAGGTTTCTATTATGGTACATAATTTTTTCAACAGTTTTTAGGTTGAGCTGGTTTCTTTTCTTGCTCACAATTTCTTCAGATTTGCGGTTATAAAGTGGTAAAGGTGCTCAAATTCAAAACTGTCTCAACCTGTCAGAATCGAGACGAGGCAGTGCCAGTGAATCGCCTGATTGGACCGCGAACCGATCTGGTGATTCATTCAGGCAATAAACCAGTTGTTGCTTCGGATGTCATATGTCACGTGATTACAAGCAAATGGTTCTATGGAATTGTAGTTCAGGGTTTGAAGCACGTATCGAAGCTTCAGTGTCGCACTGCCATCACTAGTCTAATCATTTCGCTTTTAGTTTTGTTAAATAAACATATTTGTAGTTACAACTCGTGTGTTCTCCTCGTCTTTGTCCAGCCTTGAACTGTGTTGTGACAAAGTGGGGGCTCGTCAGGATGAAATTGACCATTTTGGTCAGAGTAAGTTTTTTTTTTGGTAATTTGGCCTGGTTTGCTTTGTGTTGTACAATGGGGGTTTTGTTAATTAGTGTGTCAGCATATGTCTTCTGATGTTGAGACTCAAATTGGGGTGTATCATACATGAGTTTATTTTTATTTTGGGGGGAGAACAAGAAACTAGTCCTTTATCCTTTTTTGTTTTTTGGTTAAATTTTGGTTTAAGGTGTCCATTTGGTAACTGGAGTTGTCCCCCATTAGGTATGGTGACAATCTCTAATAGTGAGTTTGTTGCAACTTGACCTTAAAGTGGCAGTGAAAGTGGGTAGAGCTAAATGCTCGGGATCACGTCTGTGGTTTTCTGGGAGTACTGGTCCCCCCCCATCAGTAACTACCTGAAGACTAGGGTTGAAATTAGTTATTTGTATGTTGGGGAGACTACAGTTTTGTCTGTCACACTGGACTGAGCACTTTACGTTTGTTTGGGTCATGTTTGTTGTTGGTGTCCTTCCTGTTTGTCATGTAGTCAGGGGTTGGAGCCTCGACACTGATAACTGGTTTTTGTTTGCTTGTAGAGATTGGGAGGTACACTACACAGGACTAGCTGGCTCAGTGTGGAATGCCAAATTTAATTGTAAATGTTTATTGTTCTTGTTCCAGAGTTTGTGGTGGAACCACTATTTTATGAAGGGGGGTGTGACGACCCTCTGAGCAGGTTTCTCCCTCAAAGCCTGTTGGGTGGAGTCGCTTAATCAGCCAGATTAAGTTTACCTGTTCAGATGACAAGATTATCAGCCAATCTGGCTCTCTCTCTCCCTTGGCTTTCACTGTGTTGGGTTTATTTGAGTTTGTTTGTCTTTAGCTTATTTTCTCTTTTAGTTTTGTTAAAACATATTTTTAGTTACAACTTGTGTGTGTTCTCCCCTTCTTTGTCCATCCTTGAGCCAGGTTGTGACACGATGAATCACTGAAGTTGGTCATGGAGTTCTGCAAGGTTTTGTGCTTGGACCAATTCTATTCACATTATATATGCTTCCTTTAGGCAACATCATTAGGAATCCCTCCATTAACTTTCACTGTTATGCAGATGATACCCAATTAGAGCTATCGATCAAGCCCGATGAAATTAATCAGTTATCTAAATTACAGACATGTCTTAATGACAGACCTGGATTATCTGCAATTTTCTGATGTTAAACTCAGACAAAACTGAAAGTTCTTGTCCCCAAACACCTCAGAAACTCATAATTTAAGGATATAGTTCCTCTAGATGGCTTAACCTTGGCCTTCAGCACCACCGTCAGGAATCTTGGCGTTATCGTTGATCAGGACATGTCCTTCAACCCCTTTAATTCCCACATGAAGCAAACCTCCAGGACTGCTTATTTCACTGACGTAACATTGCAAACATAGGCTTTGGATTACTGCAACTCTTTATTATCAGGTTGCCCCAATAAATCCATTAAGACGCTACAATTAATTCAGAATGCTGCAGCACGAGTACTGACAGGAACTAGGAAAAGAGATCACATCTCTCCTGTACTAGCTTCTCTGCATTGGCTCCCTCTAAAATGTAGAATAGAATTTAAAATTCTCCTCCTCACCTATAAAGCTCTTCATGGTCAGGCCCCTTCATATCTTAAAGAGCTCATAACACCTATTACCCCACTAAAACACTGCGTTCTCTGAATGCTGGGCTACTTGTGGTTCCTATAGTCTCTAAAAGTAGAACAGGAGCCACAGCCTTCAGTTACCAAGCTCTTCTCTTGTGGAACCAGCTTCCAGTTTTGGTTCAAGAGGCAGACACCCTCTCCACATTTAAGAGTAGGCTTAAGACGTTCCTATTTGATAAAGCTTATAGTTAGGGCTGGCTCAGGTGAGTCCTGAACCATCCCTTAGTTATGCTGCTATAGGCCTAGACTGTCGGGGGATTTCCCATGATGCACTGAGCTCCTCTCTTCCTCTCTCTCTCCTGAGTTTTTGTGTTTTCTTGTCTTTCAGGTTCTAGTATAGTTGTTATTGTTGTTGCTGCACACATTTGTCCCTGTCTTTCCCTTCCCTTCCCTACCTCTCCCCCTCTCTTCCTCTCTAATCTAAAATTTCAAATAAGAATTTAATATTCACATACACATACATATATACATACACATACATTTAGGGTCAGTGTGATATATATAGTGTGTATAGTAGGTCAGTGTGTGTGTATATATACATACATATATATTTGTATGTATACATATACACATATACATACATTTGTATTTGAGTACCTGTTAATTTTTAACCATTTCATTATCACACCTTTGTTTTGTTTTATTACCATGAATTCCACTTGATAGCTTCAATATAACACATTACTATCCGGGGTCTGTTTGTGTTTAGTGTTATATATAGTTGTTAACTTAGACTTAAACTTAGGTTTACGCAGTAATGACAGTTACTTTTATTGGTACATTCATTACATTTGTATGGAATTTGTGTTCATGTAAGAAGTGTTATGTTATGTTATTTTCCATATACATTCAGGTATGTGGGGATATATGCAATTGTCTCATAGGCCAACCTGGAAGGTTGGGCACAGTAGACACCACGGTTGTTATGAGTTCATTTAGCCTCAGTCTCTTATGTAATTTTTTTTTTTCTTTTTTTTTTTTTTGTTTTGCACATTTCCTGGAAGGACAAAGATATCCACTTATGAGACCGCCAAACAAAGCCTCTTGACTCTGCCACCTACTTGACAACAGACCCTCTGGCGACGACTATCTTATCTAATCTTATCTTATCTAATCGCTTAATTATATAACTTATAACATTTAATACCCTACATGTATTAAACATTATGGTATTTAATCTGCAAACGTTTAATTTCCAGGGAAGAATAAAAGGCTGTTATATATAGTGTCTCTCTGTGATTATTACTGACCATTTTGACATAACTCCTATCTCTCTTTCACACTCACTCACACACACACTGACACACACACAGACAAGCACGCACGCACTCACACACAGACATTGTGACACACTGACCTACTTTCTCTGTACGCGTGCACATATATATCTTGTGCACTCCGCTCATGGGTCAAGACGCGACCATAATAAACACACATACACACAAACACACACACACACACACACACACACACACACACACACATGCAATCACTGGTGTAAATAAATGAATTACAGTGACGGTAGATTGTCTTTAATAAGGACACGCGTGCAGAATGTAGAAATATAGTATATATTTAGTCTCTATGTCTTCTGCATTCATGATAGTGTTTGGAGTTGCAGTCGAGCAGATCCATGTTTTCCTCCGCTCACGTGTACCGGCTGCTCGGCAGCGCCCATCAAGCTGTCGCTAAAGCCGAGAGGAGAGCTTATTATGGGAGTTGCTCCTGCTGTCCTATATCAGCAACAGCCAGCAGCATTTCTGCAGTCATCTCCAGCCATGGCTCCGAGTGAACGCTGCTTTCTCCACCGGCAGAGCTCCAAACCGAGAGGAAAGTGTTGTTATTAAGTCGTTCATGTAAGTAATGTGTTTTTTATTGAATGCTCAGATTTCTGTAGACGTGGTTACTTGGTGCCACAGGTGGTGTTTTCTTTCTATTCAGTTCTGCTCAGTTCAACCTTTTGCATGAAGAGCTGTAAGTCATATAAACACACATTAATAATGTGATATGATAGAGGTTGTGATGGGACAGAAGTAGTACAGGTAATATTGTTAATGCTCTTAAAGAGAAACTACACAGAGTCAACAGAGTATCAAAATTCAAAATGTGGTGTAAACTCTTATTTATAGGCTGGACCAACATGTTTGTTGGCAGACTTTACAAGGTCAGTGTTTACAGCTGGAACCTGTGGCTGAAGCCTCAGAACAGGTTTGGTTAGTGAGAAGTGAAGACCCCCTAAAATGTATCTATTTATAACATAAGTTGGAGTCAATGATGGGTCCTAAATAAATAAAAAAAGAGACTGTCAGCTCAGATTCAGATAAAGACTGAAATGCTGTTGGAACTATGAACCTAATCAGTGAGTGGATGACAGAGTAGAGGCGGTAAAGGTTTTGGATGGGTGGTTCATGCATGTGTTGAGATTACATCAGTATATAGATCTGAGACTGACTGAAATATTGCTTCCACAAGACTGGGAGAAAATCTCAGGAAAGAAGTGTTTTGACAATTTTTTTGAGGTGAGTTTATTCTGTATCCACTTTAATTGAGTATACTGCATCTTGCCTATAGACGCTTCATTACAGGTTCTGTCAGGAGGGGCAGTTTTCAAGCTGAGATGTTATTGTTTTTGCACTTTATGTGTAGACAAAAACAGCTAAACAGAAGAAAACTGCTGCTAAATACTCATCTATGTATATTATTTGCCCATGTTTTCAGTTATATTTGCACTATATGGGTTGTATTTGCACAGTTTTCTGTTCTCTATCTGTGCCTTTGCTTTACTTGTAAATATGTATATTCTTATTACTCTTTTAGTATTTTGTTTTTATTCTAGTACTTGTTTAAAACCGTTGTTCTTGTCTTCTTACTTACATATACAAACACCTAGTTCTGAGAGAAACTGCATTTCGAGCCTGTGTATGTCTTGTAAATACGGCAGAATTGAAGTTGACTTTTAGTTTAGTTTTGTCCGTGTCAAAAACAAGTTTTTAGTCAAAGTGCTCTTTCGGATTTCTTTTTAAGTTGTTTAACAGTTGGTTATATATTAAGCGTTCAACGGTGGGCTCAGTTATGAGTATGCATACAGTGAAGAACTCATGGGATCTACTGTGGAGATAACTTTTGAACTGTATGCAAGCAATGCAAACAAGTGATAGTTATTTAATTCAGTAAAACTGCTTTCATTGCACTTTGCATTTTCACTGAAATTAGTGAAAGATTTCTGAATTGCTGTGTGAAAAAATAGCAGTCAGTTTATTGAACAATCATTATTGATTTGTATTGATTTATCAGTCAGTACCAACCAGTGTCTTGAAAACATCTAAAAAGATAAAGAAACAAACACTTTCAGTCAAATTTAACTGCCTTATACTTTGGACATGGGGTTAAAAACCGAGGGCGAGATGTTTGTCCTTATCCCTTGTGTAATAAATGCCAAGCAGTGATGATATTACTTACATAATACAATCTTTGACGTCGGCAGTAATAGAGGAAAAAAAATAAAAAAATAACAGATATGTACACACTGTGCATAGATAAGTTTACTGTTTGCATTCAAACATTGAACAATTCTCTCATTTTGTTTCAGGATGAAACGAGGAAGGACAGGTCTCAAGTGCCAGACCTTCCCCTCCCATGAGGAGAGGGCTAAGAGACAGAAGCGGAGATCGTCCAACTTCGCCCTGACTCCAGCCGAGGACTGGGGTAACCTGCCCCACCATGTCGTTCTGCAGATCTTCCAGCATCTGTCCCTCGTAGACCGGGCCAGGGCTTCGTCTGTGTGCCGCTGCTGGAATGACGTCTTTCACACCCCTGACTTGTGGAGGAGATTTGAGTTTGAGCTCAATCAGCCGGCTACGTCTTACCTGCGCTCCACTCACCCTGACCTCATTCAGCAGATCATCAAGAAGCACGCCCAGCACCTCCAGTACGTCAGCTTCAAGGTAAGAGCCTTCCCTGCTGTCGCCAGTTTCTCCTCTCCTTTCACCTCCTCCTCCTCCTCCTCCTCCATTTTCACAACACAGCTGTCTTAAAAACAATATGTGCCCTCCTTAATCCAAACCATCTGCTGTAGAACTGTTCATGACGCATCAGCTGTTTTGGCATTAGTGGGCTTAACACATCAAGGCTGAGATTATTCTTACACCTCCGTCTCTCCAGTTCTCATTCTTGTGTATTTTTCTATTTTGGTTCTTTTTTTTTTACCTAAATGGTGAATCACTGCTGGTAAATCAGGTGGACAGCTGCACAGAATCTGCAGAGGCGGCCTGTGACATCCTCTCCCAGCTGGTGAACTGTACCATTAAGACCCTGGGGCTGATTTCCACAGCGCGGCCCAGCTTCATGGACGTGTCTCAGGTAAGATACTGCCTGTGCTTCATATGCACATCTCAGCACTTTCACTGCTGTGCTGTTTGAGAAGAGCTGGATCAGTCACATCATGTGTGCCATTTGCATGTCAAGCTGAATACTGTAGTCATCTCTCTCATAACAAGTTACTGTATCGTGATATTGATTTGGTAAAAAAAATAAAAAATAAATTGCACATTTACTGTATTTGGTAAAAACACAAATGTTATTAAGTGTTCAGGTTTAATCAGCATTGTTTGTCATTCCTCAGGCCCACTTCGTGTCCGCACTGACAGTGGTGTTCGTCAACTCCAAGTCCCTGTCCTCTATCAAAATTGATGATACACCAGTGGACGACCCGTCCCTGAAGGTGCTAGTTGCCAACAACAGTGACACCTTGAAGTTGCTGAAGATGAGCAGCTGTCCTCATGTATCCCCAGCAGGTCACTATACCTTTTTAAAAAGGTTCTTGTTGTTCTTGTTTTGCTTTTATTTGTTAGCAGAATAGGGAGTGGGGAATTACAAAAAGCAACAAATGTTTCTGGCTGGGCTTGAACCATTGAAAGTACATGGTCATTAAATTAAATTCCTACTCCTACGTTGCTTTTTTTGTGACAATTATACAGAAGTTGCAAACAAGACTGAGAGTAAAACTGCACTTTGGAACAGCAGTGGTTTGAGCTAAATGCTACCCTCAGCATGCTAACAGAGGGTGTAATGTTTATCATGTCCACTGTCTTAGTTTAGTGTGTTAGCGTGTTAACATTGAGGAGGAGTTTCAAATATTGACATATTTAAACTTTGGAAAGTGAGTGGATGAATTTTTTCTGAGGTAACAATAATGTCAACCTCATGGTGGTGCTAGAGGGAAAGTCAGTTGCTCACCAAAATCAGAAGGATTCATCCTCTGGGGACCATAAATGTCTGCTCATAGTTAATGGAAATCCATCCAATACTTGAGATTTCAATCTGGTCCAAAGTGGTGGACTGACTGAGGATCTGTTCCCATTCAGATGTTCTGACCTCTCTTTCTGGCCCTCAGGTATCCTGTGTGTTGCAGACCAGTGCCATGGGCTCAGGGAGCTGGCGTTGAACTACCATCTCCTGAGTGATGAGCTCCTACTCGCCCTCTCCTCTGAAAAACACGTCCACTTGGAACACCTGCGCATTGACGTGGTGAGCGAAAACCCCGGCCAGACACACTTTCACACCATCAAAAGAAGCAGCTGGGAGGCGTTGGTCCGACACTCACCCAAGGTCAACATCGTCATGTACTTCTTCCTCTATGAGGAGGAGTTCGAGCCCTTCTTCTGTGATGAGACTCCCGTCACCCACCTGTACTTTGGCCGGGCAGTCAGCAAAGAGATGCTGGGCCGCATCGGACTGAACTGCCCTCGGCTGGTGGAGCTGGTGGTGTGCGCCAACGGCCTCGAGCCCCTGGACGAGGAGCTGATCCGTATCGCCGAACGCTGCAAAAGCTTGACGGCCATCGGGCTAGGCGAGTGCGAGGTGACCTGCAGTGGCTTTGTGGAGTTTGTAAAGATGTGCGGGGGCAGGCTGACTCAGCTGTCAATCATGGAGGAGGTGTTGATCCCAGACAGCAGCTACAACATGGAGCAGATCCACAGCGAGGTGTCCAAGCACCTGGGCCGCATGTGGTTCCCTGATATGATGCCCACCTGGTAGGCTGACAGGAAGCCAGAGTGGAGGTTAATGAAGTTCATGACTGCTAGGGACACTTACTGTGAGAGTCAGTGTGTCCAAAGTTACACATTTTACTGTCTAACAAAAGCTTCGGTATCAGACTGCAGTGTCATGTGCTCTTTTTGGACAACAAGTAGGCAAGAGACAGATTCTCTGTCATCAGTGTTCTTGGCCAGCTCGCTGGAAAGTCATTTCTAAAGCTGTCACTTGTATTTTTACCTGCAGTGAATTTGATGTTTTGACTAATTCTGAAAATGTTTTTCTCACTTAAAAATACTGGCAGACGGATTTAGATGAATACCTTGTGAGCACTCAGCTTTCTTTCTATGCATAGATGTTGTGATGTGAGATTTTTGGATGTCGTTGGTTCAATATGTCTGTGAATGACGGTCTGAATTTTCACTCACTGCAACCTTTCTACCATTAAAGGATGTGGATCTGCCATCTGCTGGTTGCTTACGTTAAAAGCATCACGCTTCTTCATTCATCCTGAATTCACACACTGAATTGACTTTTTAAAGGAAAATTGCACCTTTGTATCACAAGTGTATGTTTGCTGAATTCCAGGTCTTATTTTGTGGTGAAATATTTTTTGCTACAGTAGCAACACTCTAATCTCATCTGCTCCTGCTTAATTTAGTGATTTCTTCTAGTTCCACAGAATACGGACGTTGACAGAGAGAGCACTAACAATAGTGATACTAATGAGAGAGAACAAGTCACACCTTCGTCTAAAACACAATGGGCCTTTTCATGTTTGTGTCAGTGGACACTTTAATATTTGATCCTAAAATACAACAAATTTAATTTGTTGTTTTCAATTGTTGAATGTCAGTTAAAATATTTGAAAGTATGTTATTTAATTTAAAGGTTTTAAATGGTGTTATAACATATCAAACTCAGCTTTAGACATTTAAGCCATTTACCATTATCCTCTGTCAGGTCAACAGTTCATTCACAAGTTAAATTGATTTTATTTTCCATTAAAATCGATATTTAAAGTGCATGATCTATACTTACAGTCTGAAATCTAAGCTGATGAGATTTATCAAACTCTGGAGATATCTCCATGTTGATGTTTGTCATTATTGTCATCGTCTGAATTTGTCCAATAATGCTCAAGAATAAGATAAAATACAACCAAACAACCAAATGGACTCTTTAATACAGTAAACAGCACCTATAGTTATAGTAAATACAGCGTTAAAGAGTTTAAGTCCGGTTGTCGTGAGTTTTATCAGAAATATGCAGGATGTGAATTGATTTTTTTTTTTTTTTATTGTTTCAAATGTATTTTTTTAAATTATGGATCCCTGTTCCTCTAGCAGCACTGGTTAAAAACACACAGAGGGTCTTTAGTGTTTAAAATAGAGGCCAAACGTTTGGTAGTTAAAGTTTGATTTTTTTATCATGATATGTTTGTTTTTTTCCACATGGTACAAATTTATTTTGTTCAAAATGGTTCTGATGTTTTATTTAATTCAGTTTAATGTTAAATGCACAGTGCCACACTGTACCACATTAAAACAACAGTGACTTGCCTTGTATTTGTTAATTTGTCAATTAAATGTAAGTTATTAATCACGTTTACATAGTTTTCATGTCCGCATCATTGTAACTGCTATTTCTTTTACTTATTTATCTTAAATAAAAACTGCTTTTAATTAACTCGCATGTTACAGGTCCTTGTGACGATAATACAATCAAACCCCATCTTGGTCTGCTTTTTTCTGACTTTGTCCCATTTGACCTTTTAGCAGCTCTTTATTTCCAACACTAGAGAGCAGCAATGATCTAACTGGAGACAGTGGGAGCCTTATATAAGCAGATCTGCTACTGTAGAATGAAGTATGCCAGTGATAACTCAGCCCTTTTTACAAGTGGATTCGGCGTGTGCACACTCCATTTCCATAAAAAAAGCATCAGACTTTGTAGCTTAGAAGCCTTTTCTTCTGATTCTTCTGAATTTACATTTCTCTCTCTCTCTCTCTCTCTCTCTCTCTCTCTCTCTCTCTCTCTCTCTTTCTCTCTCTCACACACACACACAACAACACACTAAAGGAAACAAATTCTGCTTTATTTTACATGTATTTCCACAGTTACATATTTTCCAAAAAATTTTCCAAAACTAGTCACAGGCCCAGCCTATAAAAACAAAACACTTATTTTTATATACAGGCAAATTAAAAGAAAAACTCTGTAAAACCACGCGTGTGTTTGTCTCAGTGACAGGATGCATTGTGACTGTTTAGGGTATCTAGGTGAGAGGAATATATTAAACTAGCTAAGCATTTTGTTCTGGAAAAGTGCCACGTTTTTGGAGGGGTGGGTGGCATGACTAATTGGGTTACCACTGTGTTCTGAAAACCCATCAGGAAAGTAACAGGCTTATGTGTTCACTATGGCAGCTTGTTATGAGGGGAGCAAGGAGGAGAGGCCCTACACGCAGTATATAATGAATTCATCACCCCAATCGATGATTTGTCACAAGTCAGAGAGGAAGAGTATTTCTCCCTGATTGCGTTTATGTAAAACCAACCCCCCCCCTCCCGAAAATTAAACATAACTCTATACTGTGATATCTCCTTTCATGAGCCAGTTCAGAATATTTACAATTTTCAGAATAAATAATCCTTCAGGTTGCCAATGAGTCTGTTTCTCATGTGTGTAGAGGCCTCTGATAGTTTTCCGTGATGACATTCAGTATGAATTCATCCCCCATGACATCAGAGGAGATGGGAGACTGGAGATGAATGTCCACAGGGGTCTCCAGGGTAGGGGAGGGTGGGGTAGACAACCTGGAGCGTTTGACTTGCCCTCCGCCCCTGAAGCTCCTCCACTCCTTGATCAGCTCGCTCTTCGTTGAGGGGTCCAGCCGGTCCAGATGCCTGGCTTGTGCGAGCGGGGAGGGGGCGATAGAGTTCCTCAGCACGTGAAATATGTACCTGGGGGAGAGAGTGTGGTGGTGAGAAAGTAGGCCAGTGAAAAATATGCGGCCCTTTGATGTAAATCAGAGCATTCCCTCTAAATATCAGCACTTTCAGACGCATCAGCCACCAGGAGGAAGACAGAGTTGTGTTGCAGTCGTTCCTGAACTTCACAATTAACATTATTTAGTTGAGACTGTCTATGCACCAGAACAACCTCACAATTACAAAGCAGTGAATAATCTGCAGGAGTCAAATACATACTCCAAAACGGTGCATAAATAATATAACCATGAGGTTGAGGGGGTTTAAACAGGAGGACTAGAACAGTGGTTTATGACCTTTTGGGCCTAAAAATAAATGAGCAATGTCTATTTGTAATCCCTCATTAAAGGTTATTTGTGGCCTTGGTGTGGAGCAGTGGAGGAAGAGGTCTTGAGATATTTCACTTAAGTAAAAATAGTAATATCAGTGTATAAATACTAAGTAAAGTAAGAAAAGTTATGCATTCAAAATATCACAAAAGTACAAAAATATAAGCATCAAAACATATTTCAAGTACTAAAATTAACTCATTATGTCCATTTAACAAAAATATATATTATATGATTGGATTATAATAATTGTATTAATGTGTGCATCACTTTAATGTTGCAGCTATTAGAGGTGGAGCTTCTTTTAACTGCTTTATATACGGCTCGATAGCTTGTAAATTTCCCCACGAGGATCAATTAAAGTCTTATTTGGGATGAGAACCGGTTGTTTATAATTTATGAGTTGATTTTATTTTGTATTACTATTCAGAATTTGTAAAATATCACATAAAAGTTCAATATTTCGCAGCAAAAGTAGTAAAATAGAAATATTCAAGGAATGTACCTCAGAATTGTACAAAGGTACAGTGCTTGAGCAAATGTACTAGGTTTAAACAGGTGAGAAGCTATAACCTTGGGATAAACTGTGATGGCCATATACATTCCTCAAGTATATATTTGTTTCTTGTTTTAGTTTCTGTAGACATCAGTGTGAAAAAACTGTTGACATTTTCCACCTCTTTTATTTTTAAAGATAATCCAATTGTGCACGTAGCAGGAGGAGTAGGGAGAAAATGGGAGGGAAGGTCACAATCTGCTGCTTAGATGCTCTTCAAAGATATAAAATAGAACAAGACATGAGTATCTGATGGAAGAAAGTCCCTCCAGTAGAATTAAAGATATCAAAAAGGATTCAAATTAGTTCATAAAGAAGCTACTCTGTAACACTGACAAGGGCACATTAAAGGGACAGGGAGGATAACACTTATGGTACCTGGGCAGCAGAGCCACCACAGTGGTGAGGATGCAGATAAGGTAGAACATGGGGTCGGCCATCTGGCTCTGGAGGATCCAGTACGGGTTGGACGGAGGGTTACAGGTGATACAGAGGCCGCTGTAAGCAAGCGTCACAATAAAGTACAGCACCACACTACCCAGAATGATTACCCAGTGAATCACCGTCTGCAAGACACACACATGAAACAGCAATTAGATACATTCATAAAAAACATAATAATCAAGCACAATTGTCTGCTAATTATTTTATTAGATTCATTTAAAAACACAGTGGATGTAAATAATTGTTTCAAATGCACACTGACTGAAATCATTTGATGATAAAAGTTTTGGCTCCCTGGAAGTATACCGTGATTATATCTACAAATAGACATCCATCATTTCAGCACTCACCCAGGCTTTGATCTCTATTGACAGATGCAACAGGATGGTAAATAAAGAAATTGTGTTCAAAGGAGTTCCAAAGGTAAAAACATCAATGTCTGAATCCTGGTAAGCCTGAGGGAGAAAACATTTTAGGCAGACATTAGTAAACCAGTAAAATAAAAGAAAATGCACCGTGACAGATGCAGCTTTGCACGATGTGTAATCAAAGACGGAGAATTCAAATGTTTCTCTTACCAAGTATGGTATAAAGAAGCACACCAGACTCTGATAGAAAGCATCGAGCATGGAAACCCAGAATGTTGAAAACTTGTACGCCTAAACAAGCAAACACAAGTAAATACACAAAAATCACATAAACGAACCCAAAAAAGACCCAAATGTGTAAAAATGTAGCAGCTAATAGAGTTGCACTGTTGTGTGGGAGCATCACTGACCCCTGCGCCCTGTCCCATCCTGTACAGTTCAGGAACACCCAGCAGCATCTCCGCAGAGACGTCATTGTCCATTATCCCAAACATGATGGGCGGCACAGAGGTGAAGAAGAGGTTGAAGAAAATCATCAGCCAGTAGTCGATCATGGCAGTGCCAGAGAAGCCACAGAAGAACTGATACCAGAACAGCAGGTTCACGTAGGCCTGGGAGACACATTAAACTGCAGATGATTAGATGAGATATTATATATAATATGTTAACTCAGACAGCAGAGTAGATACAAGACTCACCACATTCTTATAGAAGAAGTAAATGATCATGTTGGCCAGTCGAGTGTAGCACCAGTGTCCGTGAACCAGGAGAAGTTTTTTTAGGTGTCTGAAGCGAGATATAGCGAAATCACTCGCCATGACCGCCTGCAGAAGACAAAGAGGTTCGGACAATGAGAAAAGTAGAAGAAGAAAAACAATATTGTCTCAGCTAAAGACTTCAGTTCAGACCTGCATGCCCTCCTGACCGGATATCCCGATGCCGATATCAGCTGCCTGGATCATGTTGACATCATTTGCACCATCACCTGAAGCCACAGAGAGAATATCAGGTCAAAATGTGTTAAAAACCCCCACTGACATCTGGGGTCTTAAAACATTTATTACTTCAAAACGCATTCATTTGGGATTTTAATATTTAACTTTTCATTTGTAACTAATATTCTACATATAATAAACAGTTTTTCAGTTTCTCAAGACCTGAATAAACTCTGATGTTGTCATTATATAACACTATACATCCTCAAATTCCCCTAAAAAAATTCCATTAAATTCCTCTAGGGAAGGGACAAGGTGATCAGCAGGATGTAAAAGTAAAAGTCTGTAATAAAAAAGTAGAAAATGCTTCTCTTCTGGTTGCCAGCTGCTGCAGAGCAAACCAAAGCAAACGAAACAACAAAAATATATTCCAGTACACACCCGGATACTGAGACTGCCACTGTTTAATTACATTAATAACAAAACCAAGAGGAAAGAACTATGCGTTTCACATGCTGCTTTATCAGATTCGCTCTGTGCGTACTTCAGGTGTGACTTTAAATAATCAGGTGCTGATTAGGAGGAAATCTGAACAGGTTCACATTTCAGTACAATGTTTATACTCTGAATCTATTGGAAATCTATCATTGTCATATGTAATGTTGTATTTATATTTAATTTTGAATGGTACATGATATTTCCTGTTGCCTACTGTATTGTATTTAAAAGCAAATTTGTTGGATATCCTGCTAATAAGAACAAATTGCATGGTTTGCTCTGTTTTTATTACATTGTTAAAGTAATAAAACTGTGAAACCTGTAATTTCTAATTGTATAACGTCCAACAATCATGTTTGCAGGACTTCCAATGACTCAGAACAGGATACGATCAAGAACCTTATATAACCATAAAGGAAAGATTTCCAAGATGACAGAAATTACCTTTCTGTTCCCTTACAACACTTTTTTCATTCTCTCACAAAACC